GCTACCGCCGCCTAGACGACCTCTTGACTGGTACGCCCAGGTGCGCCACGGTGTGCCTGTCTTTGAGCTTGACATGGATCAGATTAGGAATGCTCTATATGTTATGTATGCTGATGACTCTAGTGTGACTGGACCCTATTACCTGGTGTTGCATAGTGTAAATTCCCTTGCTGCGTCAAGCGTAGGACCCACTACTTTGTTTAGCCTAGGCTCCACGCTAGCCCCTCCATCGGCTGACGCTACTACTTCGCTCTCCTTTACGCTTTACTCTGGTGCGTCCGCTTGCTTCTTTCGCAACCACACTGTGCTCTTGCCGCTTGCTGCCCCCGCCGATGTAGCGCTTGCTGACCCCTCCTCAGGTCCGGTAGTTGCCTGTAGCTCCACTACCCTTCCCTGTCCGGCGGTTCCCTCGGGCTCTCTTACAGGATTGCATGTCCCCTTGTTCTCTAAGAACCTAGTTGGTGTCGGCTGTCTTGAAGACCTTGGCGTTCCCACGACGTTCCCTGGACACGAGCGGTTTGCAGTTTGTACCGAGGCCGCCACTGGTGCCCCTCTCACCACGTTCCCCCGAAACCCCGTGTCTGGCCTATTCACCCTAGACACCGCGTCTCCCCCAGAGGGAACGTCCCCCCAAGTCGTCGCGTCCTTTCAGGTTGCTGCAGCCTGCTCGTGTCGGTCGCTAGTGTGGCACAACCGCCTAAGTCACCCCGCACTCCCGTGTCTGCGTACATGTCCTAGCACGGTCTTGTCTTCGCTCTCCGTGCGTCGCTCCCAGCCCTACCTCCCTCGCCTGTGCCACCGTGCACACCCTACGTCGAGGGCCGGCTGCGCCATGCTCCTCACTCCTCCTTGCTCCCCACTACCATTGCGCTACTCCAGACCCTGCACCTGGACGTTTGGGGCCTAGTCCCCGTCCCCGCGTCGCGTTGAGAGTGCTACTTTCTAGTACTTTTCGATGTCTACACGCGCTACACCACGGTGTTTCCCCTGGAGCGAAAGGCCGACGTGCCTGACATTCTTATCCCGTGGGTCGTAGTTGTGCGAGTCCACCATGGCCTCCATGTGTTGCGTCTCTTTTCCGACCGTCGTAGCGAGTTCGCCTCTGGTTGGCTTGGCCAGTTTTGTCATGCGGAGGACATAACCTCTTCGTACACCCTGCCGGACTCCCCGTAGCAGAATGGGGTCGCTGAGCAACGCATCGGTTTGGTCATGGGGGTGGCTTGTACCTCCATGATCCATGCCGGTGCACCCCATTTTCTGTGGCCGTTCACTGTTCGCTACGCCGCTCACCAGCTTAACTTGTGGCCGCACTCCCAGCGGCCGCATGTTTCACCGACCCTCTTCTGGACTGGGTCCCCTGGTGATGCATCTGCATTCCACGTCTGGGGCTACCTCGCTCATGTTCGTGCCTCAGGCACGGACACGCTCATCGCCCGCACTGTCCCTTGTGTCTTCCTTGGCTTCACCTTAGACGCGTATGACTGGCACTTTTACCACCCGTTGTCTCACCGTTTCTTTCACTCTCGTGACGTCACCACCGCAGCAGCAGCAGCAGTCACCGCCGGAGCAGCAGCAGCCGCCGGCGAGGTCCGCGAACTCTGGGGGTGCGGGCGGTGAGGAGGGCGCTAGCCCTGGGGTTCTTGTCGTGGCTTGTCTCGGTGGTCCTTGGGGTGGCACCGGTAATGGAGAGGGTTCTCGTTTTGGAGGTGCTGGTTCTGAGGTTGCTAGCCCTGGGGTTACTATCGTGGGTCGTGCCGGCGGTCCTGGGGGTGGCACCGATGTTGGAGAGGGTTCTCGCTCTGGGGGTGCTGGCGTGGAGTGTCCCGGAGGTAGCCGTGGTGCAGCTGTAGGTTATGGTGTCGGTGTGGAGTAGGAGCAGCTACAGCAATCACCGCTGGTGTCCGCCCTTTGCCTCCTTGGTCTTCCCTCTGCTGCTCACCCGCCAGCGCCTCCCCTGCCACCGCCTTCCCTGCCTATCTACGGCCCTATGTTTCCTCCGCCGTACTCACCTCTGGCTCGTTTTTCCTCGCGTTCTCCTCCTGTGTCTCCTCCAATGTCTCCTAACCTTACGCCTCCGTCCCACTTCTGGTCTCGCGGTCCCTCTCGTGGTCGTCCTGTCTCTTTTGTCCAGGGCTCTCACCCTATGTTGCTTCGTTCCCATGCGTCTTGTCCTCCCCTCGTCCTGTCTCCTCCTCCGTCATCGCTGGTTGTTGCTCCGCCTCCCCTGTCTGACTTCCTCCGTGCAGCCAGCCCTCTTGTTCCCGGGGTCCTCGCCTCTCTTCTTACCGGCCCGTCTGTTCTTATCTCCAGTCTTGACACTCTTGTCGCTGCCGTCGCTGACTTTGCCGCCACCCGAAGCCTTGACTACGCCACTGCTCTGGTCTCTGACCCTGCCCGTCCTCCGTCCGCCATGGGTGCTCCTGCCCTTGGCAGTGACGTCCTGGAGGACCGCTAGTACGAGCTTCCTTTCCTGTCAAAGGCCGCGCCTCATATCTGCTCCATGCTGCTAGTCCCTGAGGGGGATCAAGACGCATTTGACATCCCGACCCCTCGCACTTACGCTGAGGCGACCTCGGGACCCTTGGCCTCTCAGTGGATAGCTGCCATGGACGCGAAGATGGCATCTTGGAGATCCACCAGCACCTACGTCGATGCAGTTCCCCCTCCTGGGGTGAATGTAGTCGATGGCCGGTGGCTCTTCAAGGTGAAGCGCCCTTCTGAAGAGCCACCGGTATTCAAGGCGCGCTACGTTGTGAGAGGCTTTAGTCAGCGCGAGGGTGTTGACGTCTTCCAGACCTTTGCCCCAACCTCGAAGATAACTACCCTTCGAGCGCTGCTACACGTAGCAGCACAGCGTGACTACGAGCTGCACTTTCTCGACTTCTTGACAGCGTTTCTTCAGGGTAGTCTGCATGAGCAGGTCTACCTCTGTCACCCGTCAGGCTTCACTGGCACCTTCGCCCCAGGGATCCAGTGGCTCCTCCGGCGCCCGGTTTACAGCCTGCGGCAGGCGCCGTGCGACTGGTACGACACGCTTCGTGCTACGTTAGCTGACCTGCAGTTCTTCGCATCAACTGCAGACCGTTCACTCTTCATTCGTTCAGGCCAGACCCCGTTCTACATCTTTGTCTTTGCTAGTGCAGACAGAGACGCACTGGCCTTAGTGAAGCCGAGCAACTGAGGAGACACACCTTCACTAACGTAGGAGAGCTGCGCCGTTACCTTGGCCTGCAGATCTCCAGGGACAGAGCAACGCGCACCATCACTCTCGCACTCTCATTCTTGGTATGCCAGGTACTAGCAAGCTATAGCTTCTCACTTGCTAGTATCTTGACAATGTATTCTCTCTGATATTACCGTACCTTTACTGGCCTTATGGCTCCTGTTCCAGTGGCCGGACTAGTAGTGCCGCCCTGGTTTGCTCGTCTAATTTGTACTCTTCTGACTGGTCTTCGCACCCTTGGCTCAGAGGTTGGACTAGTAGTGCCACCCTGAGCTGCGTGTCTCTTGCTAGGCACTGCCCTTTGTCTAGCCTAGGGGGTGTGTCAACATATTGATACATATTGTTATAGGCTAGATAGGTGCATGCCATAACGAGTACAACACCTGGCACAAAACTACCCTGTACCACCCTTCCTAGTCAAATTCGTTACTCTGAGACAGCCTTGTGCGCCGCTATCCCGAGGTGGATGCGAATGCTGCGGACCTGCAGGTCGCGGCCTCCCTCACCTTTCCTGCCATAGGAAGTGTTAGAGAAAGCATCTTCGTACTGGAGACAGAGAGCACATTTCAGTGCAGGCCGCCCGTTTTTCATAGGCGTCAGGCGGAGCTAAGGAAAGCGTTGCGACCAGTCATCAACGAAGCAACGGTTCACCACCTTGTACTCCGCGTCAGCAGGAGCGGAGGGATTAAGGGGCGGAGTGGGAGCAACAGGTGGCGGAGTAGGCGTAGCAGCAGGCTTCTTTTGTGGCGGTGCCCAAGGGAGGCAATGCTGACTCCATATCCCGCCAGATCTCCTCTTGGCGGAAGCGGTGGCGGAAGCAGTGGCGACAGACTCAACAACTTCTGGTGCCTCGCCAGAAGTGCCTTCGTCGTACAGCAGATCAAGGTCGATCGCGTCGGCAGCTTGTGAGAAAGATGGCAGGTACGTAGGCTCGAAAGGATACTGCTGGGGAGGGGCAGCACGCTTCTCGTGCGTGGGACTGCTAGGCGGGGAAGTGACAACTCTACGCGGGAGGAGAGGGAAGACCCCAAGAACACTAAGACCATGCAGTGGGGGTGGGTCTACGGGCTGGCCATCTTCGCTCGCTATGGCTAGAGGCGAACGAGCATCACTCGGCACTAGTGGCTTGGGGAACTGCTTGCTGGAAGTCATGAGGCTTGGTTTATGGAAGAAACGCCTGGGGAAGAAGCGCTTCTGCGAGGTGGAAGGGGTGAGGGGGCAAGAGCCTCACCTAGAACCACTCATAGGCAACATCTTTGCACGTTGCTGCATGCTTCAGCCACCACAAGCGGCGGAAGGCAATGCTGCAGCCATGTGGTGGTGGTCCGCGTTGCTGTCAAACAACAAGGCAACATTGCTGCCACTCTAACCAATGGCGAGCCAAAACGAATCCAACAAGGCGGTTGAATACGGGCGAATATGCCCACCCGCATGTGAGGAAATGCATGAAAGTTCGGTTCAATGGGAGACGTGGGAGGCATCACGTGCACAAAATCAGACATGTACAGTATCTAGCCTCTAACAGTTTCTGTATCAGTGTACTTCTTGGGTCACCCTGATGCCTCAGGGTGGTGGTGGGGGGGGGGGGGGGGGGGGGGGGGGGGCGCAACCCTGTTCTCAGCAGGGTAAAAAAAGTGGAACACTTTTTTGAATCAGCCTTAAAAAATTCCAAGTCGGATTTTTATGAGTAACCTAACAAATACCTGGAAAAATCAAGGCAATCAGGGCATTTCACTCGACTATTTTGGGGCCTGATCTGTTGATTGCACAATGTTTCTTGCTGAGATAGCTTGCTTCCACTAAAAGGTCACCCAATTTCGGCCACCATTTTAAACGACGACTGATGTGTACTATGCTGTAAGAGTCTGGTGTCTAGATTTAGCAGTCCACCATCCTAGTTGCTGCCTTGAATTGTTGCAATTTCTCATGCCGCCATGTAATACTATCTTAAGGCGAGGATCTCAAAACGCCCGAAAGTCAAGTCTTAAAGCCCGCCCGGCAGGTTGCATATTTGTACTGTTTAGGTAGTGCGGCGGCAGAACCTGATTGGACGACGAAATATTATGGAAACGAAATAGCTGGCGAAGACTGGGCTTCGCAGAGTCAACGTCTGTTTCGCGCGAGCTTGCAGGGCCGGCAACTTGGCAGGGCTGCCAGTTTTGCAGCCCACGATCTGGCATAGAGCCACCTCGCCACCTCTGCCAAGTTTGCAGGACGAGAACTGGTTGGCTGTTTCGATCACAACCAGCCCTTTTACCTGACCGGTTTCGGAAAACCAAACCGAATATTGTTTGACGCATATACAGTGGGTACAGTGAGATCCAAAGAATACGAATCCCATTTTTGTTTCGTGATTCCCACTCACACTGCAAAATACAAATTCAAGTTTCTACCCTCCACCCAGCCCCTCCCATCTTTTCCCTCAAAAGAACTCGGCAGGTTTGCACTGCCAGGTTCCGAGAGGCCCCCAGCTCTGCCTAGTAGTTATCCTTCGCGAGCATTTGGCAGTTTGATGCCAGCTGCTCGGTTACGAGGGCCTCAAGGTGCAGCATCTTGAGAAAAGAGGGCTTGCAACCTGCCGGTCGGGCTTTAAGTTCTTGACTTCCAATTTCCGTCTGAAGGGTTACCCGTTTTTCCGGGCGACACTTCAATATCCCAACAGTTCGCCTCTGATTGGCGTAACCACCCACACACCCCCTCTGCGACAAACCACCCACCAAACCGTCGCTCACCTTCCCCTCCAACGATCGAGTTCTAAATCCATTGGGAGTTTCTATACTAGAAATCACGGGCAACCAGCCGCGCTCCCATCCCGCCACGCCAGCTCCTCTCCAATTTTATCGCCACAGCGTTTCCCCCCTGATCCCGCCTCGTCATTTCCCCGCACATACCACCAGCGCCTTGGGTTTAGCTATTACGTCGTGCCTAATCCACACCAAGCTCCGCCTCGTCTTTCCCCTCGTCAACCCACTCGCCTTCCCCCTCGTCATCCCGCTCGCCTTTCCCCTCATCATCCCGCTCGCCTTTCCCCACGTTGTTTCCCACTCGCCTTTTCCCTCGTCAACCCGCTCGCCTTTCCCCATGTTGTTTCCCGCTCGCCTTTCCCCTCGTCAACCCGCTCGCCTTTCCCTTCATCTACCCGCTCGCCTTTCCCCTCGTCAACACGCTCCCCTTTTCCCCTTGTCAACCCGCTCGCCTTTCCCCTCGTCAACCTGCTCGCCTTTCCCCACGTCATCCCGCTCGCCTTTCCCCACGTCTCTGCGATGCCGTGGGTGGGTTCAAAGGAAGGAGCGGTCGGGGGGGAGAGATAGGACGGGAGGATGAAAAGGAGGGATCGGTCTAGGCGACTATCGCCTCCGGCGCAGCGAAAAGTATTTAGAAATACTTGTGCAAATAGCCTCAAGGGCCTTGCCTCATAATCTGATCTCAAAGTGGTTGCAAGTTGTCAATACATACAAGCATTCCACTAGTTCCAATGAGATACAAAGCACACAAGAGTATACTGATTTATAGGCAAACAAGAAAGAACAAACGCGGTTCGTAACTGCCGTGTGCGCTGCGAGTAACTCGCGCGCTTCGTGTCATGCCGAGTCGCACACGCAATCGCGACTTTCTTGCTGAACACGCCACTGGCCCGAAGTCCGAATGCTTGTTGAACACGCCCCGTCCGAAACCCAACTTTTGCCCCACGTCAATCTGTTTCTCGCCACTTCCATTCCTTTCTTCCACTCAACCACCATTCTCCTTACTTTCCACCAATCTTCTCTCTTTCTTCTCCCCTTTCCGTACACCTCACGCCCACGCAATATTCCCCATTTCCTAGTTCCTTCTCGTCCCAAGTCCGCACGTCTCTCCTCGTCACCCCAAGTCACGAGTAGTCCGTCGTGGGTGGCGGAACCACTCCAACAATCGGTAGGGGGGAAGGGAGGGGAGTGGGTTGTCGGGAAAGGGGGAGCATCCCAAAGTTGCGGGGCTCGAAAACCTACTCGAGGGAAACGTTTGTGTCTCAATTTGGCGTCGTGAAAAAAGTTGCTCCAAAGATTCTGGTTTACCTACCAAGAGGTAAGTTTAGGTTCGGATTGTTTCGAGCCTAAACTACCTAAGGATACATCGCACTAACAAAATGTGGGGGCATTAACGAAATGCGGTTGGTTAGGCTATTTGGTTTGTCCCTCTGTGATTCGGTAGGATGAAGAACGGAGTGAGGAAGGTATCTCTAACAACGACTAAGTGCGCTTACCACCATCACGAACTGATGGGCGAACAGTTCAGGACGAGCTGAACCTGCGGTGCAAGGCAGACGGAAAGCTTAAAAAACGTGCGTAAGAAGAAGAAAATGTACGGCGAGACTGAAACAGTCAGGAGTCACGCAGAGGAAAATAAAAGAGCGCATTGTGCAACTTCAGCTCGTAAAACTATCTACAGAGAATGCGAAGGGAACGTGCAACTTTTGAAGATGGAACGGCTGAAAGAGCTACTAATGAAAAACATCACCAGCTCAGGCAGGCACTCAGCGATGTGGCATGGGTGATGTTTTCGCTGTAGTGTGGGGGGCACTGGCAAGGTGCAGGCAGTTGCCGAAGTTAATCTGTAGCTGTCTAGATATTTACCCAAGCATGATTTGCATCAAGAAAAGTACGAGTTTAATGTTTGGTGCGCATTTGTGAACAACCTTATATGTTGGACATTGATTGTTTTTCTCGTGATTTTGTGCTCTTGCATCAAGGCCCAAGTATCTTGATGCAATGGCATAAATTTTGGAATTTGGGCATCCGTAGGCACCTTTTGGCTTTGTGGGTTCAATGGTTCGAAAAGGCAATGCAAGTTACCTAGGCTGTGCAACTTCTCAAGGTAGAGAATTGACTAGAGGCCAGTGCGTCTTTGTGCGCAGTAGCAAAGACTAGGTCGTCTTCGTAGACTAGGATGTAGAACAAAGCCTGGCCTAATCGAACGAAGAGCAAAGGGTCTGCAGAGGATGGGAAGAATTGCAGGCTTGCTAATGTAGCACGCAACGTGTCGTGCCACTCTCGGGGTGCCTATTGCAAGCTGTAAACCGGGCGCCGGAGGAGCCACTGGGTCCCTGGGGCGAAGGTGCCGGTGAAGCCTGGCGGGCAGCGTAGGTAGGCCTACTCGTGCGGACTGCCATGAAGAAATGATGCCGAGAAGTCGAGATAGTGCAGCTCGTAGTCACACCGCGATCCTACGTGTAGCAGCGCCCGAAGAGTAGTCAACTTCGGGGTCGATGTGAAGGTCTGAGACAGAGACATGAGAAAGAGAGGGAACCCTAGAAATTCCCGATAGCCACCAAGCACAAGGTAGACTCGACAGAGACGAGGCAGGGGGGAAGGAGCTGCGATAAAGTAATTCGAACACTACACGGTAGGCAGTAGCGAGAGAGGGGGAGCGCCGCACAAACTATCCGTAGCGTCGCGGGAACTATGGAATAACAAATCTGCGCCCTGAGCGACAAAGTAGGAGGGGCTCGCACCGCATAAAAATGAGGGGAAAGGGAAGTGGAGACGCACCTGGAGGCCTGCGCCCGACGGAAGGCGACCGAAGACAAGCGCGCCGAACACGCGCCTGATAAAACATGAGAAACGGGTGATGGACCCCCGCCACTAGGTCTCGCATCAACTCCCCCGCTCCCCTGCACCAAGCACGCTCCCGTGGCACAGAAACCCCTCCCATCGCGTGTGTTGGGACACGCTCTGCACCGCGCCCCCACCCACACTGTCGTCCGCAAGTCCATGGCACCACACTCCCTCACACCGCACGCCACTCACTCCCGCCTCCAAACGCCAACCCCCACGACCTCATGCCGTTCCGCTGCGCCACATCCCCGCCGTCTCCACAGCATTACCTCTCATTGCCCTGCTTTCTGAAGGGCCGCACCACTCTCGTACTTGCTGCACCCCACTCTCACGCGCTGCCCTGCACCCTAGCCCGCTGCACCACCCACAAGCTCTCTGTACTACGTCCCCGGCACAGGGTGCCCCGCCCTCCTGCTGAACCACTGACGGCCCCGCTGCACCTCACTCCCAAGCGGGAAGCCCCCCACTCTCTCCCGGGAGAACCGCACCCCCATGAAACGCTCGAGTGGCATACTCCCTCACGTCGCATCACGGGTCCATCTGCTGCACTGAGGGACGTTACGCTGCACTGCACAGGCTCCTGCTGAACCACACTCCTTCCCGCTGCACCACACTCTGAGGCACTGCACCACATACCCTCCTGCTGCACCTCACTGCCTTGTCCGCAGCAAACCACACACGAGCCGCACATCGCAGCCTTGGCTGCTCAAAGCACACACGCGCCGCACATCGCAGCCTTGGCTGCTCAAACCACACACGCGCCGCACCTCGCAGCCTTGGATGCTCAAAGCACACATGCGCCGCACCTCGTAGCCTTGGCTTCTCAAAGCACACACGCGCCACACCTCGCAGCCTTGGATGCTTAAAGCACACATGCGCCGCACCTCGGAGCCTTAGCTGCAGCAAGCACACACGCGCCACCTCTCACTACCTTGGCTGCTCAAAGCACACTCACGCAGCACCGTACTGCCTAGTCTGCAGTGAGCACACACGCGCAGCACCTCACTGCCTTGTCTGCAGTGAGCACACACGCGCTGCACCTCCCTGCCTTGGCTGCACCAAACACACACACGCTGCGCCTCCCTGCCTTGGCTGCTCAAAGCACACATGCGCAGCACCTCGCAGCCTTGGCTGCTCAAAGCTGCGTGGGCCGCACCTCACAGCCTTGGCTGCTCAATGCACACACGCGCCGCACCTTGCAGCCTTAGATGCTTAAATCACACATGCACCGCACCTCGCAGCCTTGGCTGCACCAAGCACACACGCGCCAGCTCTCACTACCTTGGCTGCTCAAAGCACACACACGCAGCACCGTACTGCCTTGTCTGCAGTGAGCTCGCATGCGCAGCACCTCACTGCCTTGTCTGCAGCGAGCACACACGCGCTGCACCTCCCTGCCTTGGCTGCACCAAGCACACACACGCTGCGCCTCCCTGCCTTGGCTGCTCAAAGCACACACGTGCTGCACCTCGCAGCCTTGGCTGCTCAAAGCACACACGCGCTGCACCTCGCAGCCTTGGCTGCTCATGGCTCCCACGCGCCGCACCTCGCAGCCTTGGCTGCTCAATGCACACACGCGCCGCACCTCACAGCCTAGGCTACTTCAAGCCGCTTGGGCTGCACCTCGCAGCTTGGCTGCTCAAAGCACACACACGCCGCAACTCGCAGCCTTGGATGCACCAAGCACACACGCGCCACCTCTCACTACGTTGGCTGCTCAAAGCACACACGCGCGGCACCTTACTGCCTTGTTTGCAGCGAGCGCACACGTGCAGCACCTCACTGGCTTGTCTGCAGCGAGCAGAGACGCACTGCACCTCCCTGCCTTTGCTGCAGCAAGCACACACGCACTGCAGCTCCCTGCCGTTTCTGCAGCAAGCACACACGCATTGCACCTCCCTGCCTTTGCTGCAGCAAGCACACACACACTGCACCTCACTGCCGTTTCTGCAGCAAGCACACACGCATTGCACCTCCCTGCCTTTGCTGTAGCAAGCACACATGCACTGCACCTCCCTGCCGTTTCTGCAGCAAGCACACACGCACTGCACCTCCCTGCCTTTGCTGCAGCAAGCACACACGCACTGGACCTCCCTGCTATTTCTGCAGCAAGCACACACGCACTGCACCTCCCGGCCTTTGCTGCAGCAAGCAAACACGCACTGCACCTCCCTGCCATCCCTGCAGCAAGCACACACGCACTGCACCTCCCTGCCTTTGCTGCAGCAAGCACATACGCACTGCACCTCCCTGCCGTTTCTGCAGCAAGCACACACGCACTGCACCTCCCTGCCTTTGCTGCAGCAAGCACACACGCACTGGACCTCCCTGCTATTTCTGCAGCAAGCACACACGCACTGCACCTCCCTGCCTTTGCTGCAGCAAGCACATACGCACTGCACCTCCCTGCCGTTTCTGCAGCAAGCACACACGCACTGCACCTCCCTGCCTTTGCTGCAGCAAGCACACACGCACTGTACCTCCCTGCTGTTTCTGCAGCAAGCACACACGCATTGCACCTCCCGGCCTTTGCTGCAGCAAGCAAACACGCACTGCACCTCCCTGCCATCCCTGCAGCAAGCACACACGCACTGCACCTCCCTGCCTTTGCTGCAGCAAGCACATACGCACTGCACCTCCCTGCCGTTTCTGCAGCAAGCACACACGCACTGCACCTCCCTGCCGTTTCTGCAGCAAGCACACACGCACTGCACCTCCCGGCCTTTGCTGCAGCAAGCACACACGCGCCACCTCCCCGTCTTGGCTGCTCAAAGCTCACACGCGCCTAACCTCGTAGCCTTGTCTGCACCAAGCACACATGGGCTGCACCACCCACTCGCGAGCTAGGGCTTCAATGCCTCTCGCTGCACCGTCCACACACACGCTGCACACTTGCACCTGTGTCACACTTCTTACCCCCCCGCAGGTTTGTGCAATACACGTGCTGGCAATGGCTACCTCGAGAGCACCACGAGCACTAAGAGCTTTGGTGGGGTCAAAGGGAGGTAGTGTGAACATCACATGCCATATGCAACCGATAGTAAAGGTGCAGAGACTAGGGCTGACAGTGCTCCTGGGGCTGGAGGAGGAGGTCGCAAGCATGGATGATCTGTTGTACTTTTTGGCGCAGCATGCTAAGGACGCCGTCAAGCGTCTGAAGGAGGCAGCCTACCATGCCGGTAAGCGCGATTCTATGCTCCCACCCTGGTGTGTCTGCCTTGCACCGCCCCACTAATGCTGTCACCCAAAACAGCCGAGAACATTCCACTGTGCCCAGTCTCGCAGGCCGACGGGGCTGCAGCTCGAAGCCTTGTCACCGAGCACAAGACAGTGTACAGCCACATATTCAATCGTCGGGTTAAGGGTGGCACGGCAACCGCCGAGGAGCTCCTCACACGGCCGAATCGGGAACTGCCAGGCGTGGCTCTTAACTTGCCGCTGTACACCTGGAGAAAGAACGGGGGGTACACACTCGCCGAGGGGGCAGGATGGGGCGGTGATCGCAAAGGAAAATATTTCATAATTCGGCAAGGTGAGCATCGGGGCGCTGGGAAGGAAGGTATGGGGAGGCATCTGGAGAAGCGACGCCAACCTCCCCCGCAATGCCTCGCCCCTCTTATCCACGACCCCCCACCCTCTGCATACAGCGTAGGGGGCGACGGCGGGGTCATCATTGGAGGCGTGCAGCACGGTGATGTCGAAGTAGGGGACGTGGGTACCGGGAACAGCACCGCGCCACCAGTGTGTGACGGCAGACGGACATCTGGAGGTGGGTAAGGGCTAGGCTTGAGCAACGGGTCGGGTCGAGTCGGGTAACCCGACCCGATGTCGACTTTTTGACAGGACGGGTCGACATTTGCGGAGGGTCGACCCGACCCTCGGGTACCCGACCCTCGGGTACCCGACCCGACCCGGCCTGGCCCGACCGACAAAACCCGACCTGTCTGATCGGCTTATTACCCGTCCCTGCCCCAATGCCAACCCAACCCGACCCGACACGAAATCGGGTCTGTCAGTACCCGACCTATTAACCCCGGGTCGGGTTGACAATTCATGTACTCTGACCCGACTTGACCCGACCCGACCCGACCCAAACCCGACATCAGGTAGGGCAAAGTCGGGTCGGGTCGGGCCAGGTCGGGTTCATGCTCAAGCCTAGTAAGGGCCGTGAGGCTAGGGGGTTTGGAGGGGCATAAATTTGCGAGCGCTCCAGGATCCTCCACCCTTAAGATTGTTTCCTTGCCATACTGCTTCCACGACACGCAGAGTGCAATGGAGGAGGAGACGTGCCGGTGGCCGCCCCTCAACCCTATAGCTACATGGATGACAGGGGCTGCGGTACCACCCCTGCGGTGGGGTTACCTCCCAGTGTGACTACTGCCTCACCTGCATCTCCCACGACATGGCGAAATATGGGTGGTACAAGTGCTCCAAGCAGGTAGGGCCCCACAAAGGACGGTGGTGGTTTGGGGTCCCTGGACTACGGGGTGATGGATGTGCACGGGGGCTACGGCCCACGGCACTTGTGGGTCACATGTTGCCCAATATTTCATGCAAGCGGTCCAGGCTTCACACCACCCTCCAAATACCCAACAATCCGTACAGGGTGCTGCAAAGACAATGCCATTTCCCCTACTACCCAACCCCTATCCAAACCCGCAGTGCAAGCGCTATGCAGAGGCCAATCCCTTCCCCTCCCATCCCACGCATGGGATGCGAAGGGGCCAGCGGCCCACTTGGGATGTCACGTGCGCCCTCTACACCGTGCCGTGCCGCACTCAGTCCGTCGACACCCAGCAGGTGAGCCACATGATGCTTGGCACGTGATTAGGGACGGGCGTTTGGCCACATCACTCATTTGGCCACCATCTCTCCTACCCTCACTAACTTCCCCTCCCGCTCGCAGGTTCCCCCCACAAGTGGCATAGGGCATGATGGCTGCCCCTTCGGCCACCTCCCCCCCATTCCCCCAATCCCTTCACCATGTCCCTTCCCCCAATCCCGCCCAATCTCTTCCCTCCTTCCGCCTCTCCCTTTCCTCTGCAAGGAGAGTGGGAGAGAGGAGGGGGAAAGGGGAAGGAGAGGGCAGGGAGAGGTAGAGAGAGATAAAATGAGGTGAGTGGAGAGGGCAGAGAGAGAGAGAGAGTGAGTGAGTGAGAGAGAGAGGGGGGGAGGGAGGGAGTGAGAGAGTGAGCCTTCCTACCCACTGCTTTGACCTTCCTTCCCTCTCCTTTGGCCCTCCCCCCACCTGCGCTCCCCCGCCCCTCCCCCCTCACCCGCCCTACCACCCTACTGCCTCCGCCCCCCCCTGTCTCCCCCCGCTTCCCCCTCCCCCGGGATGTGGAAGTGGGGAGGATGGGGGATGGACGGGAAGAGGGCGCGAGGTGGAAGGGGAGGGGACTGGATGTGGGGGGGGAGAGGACGCTAGGTGGAAGGGAGGAGGAAGAAATAGGAAGGATAGCAGGGATAGGAGGGAGAGCACGACGTGCAGGAACAGCTGGGGATAGCAGGGATGGGAGGGATAGCGGGGATAGCAGGGATGGGAGGGATCGCAGGGATGGGGGGAGTAGCGGGGTTAGGAGGGATAGCAGGGATAGCAGGGAGACCATAGATGGGAGGGAAAGGAGGGATGGGAGGGATACAGGGGATGTGATGGACAAGAGGGATAGCTCGGGCAGGATGGGACTGAGGAAAAGCTTGGGCAAGATTGGACTGAGGAAAAGCTCGGGCAGGATGGATCCGGAGGGATAAGAGAAGGGAACGGGAGAGGTGGGGAGGGGGAAAGGGAGAGGAGAGGGAAAGAGAGAGAACAGGAGTGGGAAAGAGAGAGGAGGGAGGGAGGGCGTGAGGGAGGGTGAGAGAGTGGAAGGGGTTAGAGACGGAGGAAAGAGAGACGAGGCGAAAGGAGAGATGGGAGGGAGATAGAATGGAGAAAGGAAAGGGTGGCGCCACCAGAGAGAGACAGGGAGTGAACAAGAGAGGCGAAACAGTGATAGAGAGGGGAAGGGAGAGATCAGGAGGGGGGAAAAGGGAGAGAGGCGGGACGGAGAAAGGGAGAGAGGCGGAGGGGGAAGGGGAGAGAGCGTGAAGGAGGCAGGGAGAGGTGGGGGGGGGGACGAGAGTGGTGGGCGAGATCGAGAGCCCTCCATGCCCCTGCTCTAGGACACATCCGATCCCCCCAACCATTACCCATCCCCAACTTGCCCCACCCTACCCCCCAATTCTCTGTCCATCCCCCTCTTGCCGCTCACTCCCCACTCCTCCTCCCCCAACCCCCCCAGTCTGCCCATCCCATGCTACCAGTCACTGCCCTTCTCTCACTCCCCCCCTCTCTTGCCCCCCCACTCTTCTTACCCGTCTCATGTACTCAGCCCCCATGCCTACCACCTCCTCTGCTCGTCGCCTCTCCCACACCACCCCCCCTGCGTCCCTGCCCATCCCAGTCTTGTCCCTCCACCCCTCTTCTTCTCAGGCTTCCCCTCTATGCACATCCCCCTTGTCCTCATGCTGCCCTTCTCTCGTTCTGCTGCTTCCCCTCGGAACCCCTCCGCCCCATTCAGGCGTGTAAGGGGTGGTTGTTCAGCATTTCAGGCGTATCCTGTAACTGTTCTCATCTCATCTTCCTCCTCAGGCAGGCTTACAGCTCTCCAAGCTGTGGTGCACCCCGGCAAAAACAATACCCTAGCACAGCGATTTCGGCAATGGGAAATAGTGGGAGGGTAAGAAGTGAGGCTTGCTAGCTACAGAGCTAAAATAGGCCGGGGGAATTTGAAAAGGGAACGTGGCCGGGAGGAAGTGGCGAATCTTGTCTGGACTTTAGTGCCACAATGCATTGGCCCGCGATTATTGACAGTGGCTTGTATTGGCAGTCATAGTACCCCATATCAAATAGCCCTGGTTATGAATTTGCAGGCTATTGGCCACAATTTTCTTGAATCAATCAGCATCCACTAAACACTCTACAGCATTGCGTCGTAAATTTGACCCCTTTGTGGATAATCCCCCCCCAGACCCAACCTTCTCCCGTGCTGCCATGACTTCTTGCATCGCCTACTCCTACCATCCAGTGTAGCTGGGCCCTCTGGCCACGAGGCAGATAGCTACCGTGAGCACGCAGGTGTGGCTGGGGGAGGGGAGCAGAGTGTGGAAGAGGGGGGGGAGCATGGGAGGGCAGGGATATGAGGGATGAGAGTGGAGATGTGGGGAGTGCGGGGACAACGGGGGGAGAGCAAGGGAGATTGTGGGTTTGCGGGCAGGGTGAGGGGGGCCAGAAGGGGGGGGGTCGGCTGTAGGGGAAAGGGAGGGAAAGCATACAAGAGGGGGAGAGAGCAGGGGAGAGGGGGAGAGAGCAGGAAAGAGGGGGGGAGATCAGGGGAGAGAAGGAGAGAACAGGGGAGAGAGGGAGAGAGCAGGGGAGAGAAGGAGAGAGCAGGGGAGAGAGGGAGAGAGCAGGGGGCAGAGGGAGAGAGCAGGGGAGAGGGGGAGAGAGCAGGGGAGAGAGTGAGGGAGCAGGGGAGAGACGGAGAGAGCAGGGGAGAGAGGGAGTGGGGGAGAGAGCAGGGGAGAGGGGGAGAGAGCAGGGGAGAGAGGGAGAGAGCAGAGGAGAGGGGGAGAGAGCAGGGGAGAGAGGGAGAGAGCAGAGGAGAGGGGGAGAGAGCAGGGGAGAGGGGGAGAGAGAAGGTAAGAGGGAGAGAGAGCAGGGGAGAGAGGGAGAGAGCAGGGGAGAGGGGGAGAGAGCAGGGGAGAGAACACAAGGAGGACAGAGAGCACCCTAGTGTCTTCTCCCCGTATCTCTGGGACCCCTGCTGTCCCTCCAATCCCTCCCCTCCCTCCTATCCTATCCATGCGTTCCCCCCATCCCTCCTATCCTCCATCCCTCCTATCCTCCATCCCTCCTATCCTCCATCCCTCCTATCCTCCATCCCTCCTATCATAAGGGAGACGGAGAGCACCTCTACCCTTCCCCCTTTTGTCCTCTCCTCGTCCCCCTTGTGTCATCTTCCCGTCCCCCTTTTGTCCTCTTCCTGTCCTCCTCGAATTCCTGTACCCGTCCACGGGACGTGTCTTCTCCCCTTCATCCTCGCTTTTGCTGCCACGTTCGCCCCCACAACCTTGCCCCTTCGCCCCCGTAATACCCTGCTCCTGCTCGCTCTCGCGTCATCACCCATCCGCCCTCTCATCCTCGCCAACGCGCCGTCACATCCTCTCCTCTCCACCCTCGCTGCCCTCCCCTCGGCCATCGCGTCCTCTCGCAAACGCCCTTTCATCCCCCTGTTTCGCAGTTTTTACCCCCGCGCCTCGCACCTCTTTCCCGCGGGCAGTTTCTGTCACATATTCTGGATGGTACACGTCACGCAGGTCCGTTTGCGAGGTCGTTAGTCTCCCTCGCCGTTTGATCTAAGTTCGCTAAGGCGGGGGCTAGGGCGAGTGTGTGTGAGTCCCAACTAGTCTCTCCAATTGGGGGTTCAGTCCCCCGTCGCTTTACGTGGTGCTGGTTTGGGGGTGTTTCATGAGGGCGTGTTTCAGAAGGTGGCCATTCGTTGAATGTAGTGCCGTTTTTTTTACATTGGTACACTTTTGCCCTTCTGTTCTTGGAGGGTGTCTCCAAGTTTCTGCTGACGCTTGTCCGCCTCCTGCAATTGTGGACAAACCCGAAGTTTGTAGGGATTGGGTTGTCGCCGAATTCAACCCAGCGACCCCCAGCGATTTTGACGAGGTGGCGTTTGCTTCGTGGCGATGGTCTGAGAGTCGCAGCCAATGCACCCGTATTTTTTCTCTTCGCAAAGCTCGCCATTTTCGCCTAAACCGGAAACGAAAACCTGAGCTTGTGACTTCGAGGGTTTTGAGATCCTCGATTTAGGGAGGACATTTACGAAGGACTTGTAGCATATGATCATACCGATGACTCGTGATAATTGCTTATATGTTCCACGTAGTTTAGATTCTAATTCATCAACTAGCACTGGTTGAATGTTCGAAGTTTTAGATAACGAGAAAACTACAAGTTTTTCATTTAGACAGCAAATTTTCCGTATTTGTCACTCTTAGTGGATCGCCGCCTCTGATTGAGGATACCACCTAGGGTTTCGTCCATCACCAGCTGGATCTCGTCCTCATCTTGCCATTTCCCTCCCTAGTTCCAGTCACCCGCCCTTAGTTCCCCCACAGACCGCCCAGTAATCTGCTGATCGCTACGCTTCATTAAAGATCGTAAAACAGCAGTTGGATGATCTCGCCTGGCCACCTGGGTCTAATCGCCACGTGTACAGCAAGGCTCCTGTTTCCTTCCTCCAGTAGCCATTAACGTCCCTGGTTTGTGACATCCGCACGTTTACGAAGATTCTGCCCTCCCTCCCTCCATCCGACACGCGGAGAAATCGCACATGCGACGTTACAGGTCAGAGATAACACCCCAACACATTCTTCAAGTGGTGATGTCAGCACTTGCATTCACGTGCATGCGCTGTAATGTCGGTGTGTCGGTACGTATTTAGAGCCGTAGATGAGGCTCCGAAAAGCGTGGATAGTTCTGTACCGTCCGATTTGTTTCACGGGCATTTTTTTTACGTCATCCACGGGAATGTGCTGGCGGATGTTTAAATCGTGGACAGATCCGGGCCATTGATGCACTTCTAGAAGTTTCAGGATCTGAATTATCCGTCCGATTTTCGACAGCCAAGTGTGCGCTGGCTGAAAAAACAGTAATGATAACCACCCACTGGCCGCCTCGCGTTTGCCTGGCAGCGCGACGAACGAACATTGGGGAAGCAACATTCGCGAAGGCCCCTTCCATCGTTAACATGAGTTTCCGTTGCTGGCGGTCAGTAGAAAAGACTCTCTGACAGCCATTTCTCTTCCGTCACAGCCTTTGAGTTGAGCATCTTCTTAATCACACCCTCTTGCAAGCACACCCCCCTCGACCTTGCTCCTTGTGCCCGAGTCCCTCCCAACTGCTCTCACCCTGATGGCCTCGGTCAATCCCGAGACCGCTCTCGCGGCTGCTCTGGCTGCTGCCACGTTTCTTGGCACTGCAGCGAAATACCTCTGGCAAGTACCCTTCTGGTTCGACTGCTCTGCAGTGAACCAGACTCCCTTTGAATGGCTCTGCGACTGGACAGCTGCGGATGAGGCCGAGCTGAGAGCAGCTCCGGCCAAGACGCGACGTGGTACGCTGAATCCCAGCGAGGAGCTGCTGCTCCTGGCTGGAATTAGAGTAAGCACGTCAGAGTTTATAACGGAATGGACTGCTGCTGATGAAGCAGAAATGAGAGCAGCACCGGCCAAGACGCACCGTACTACGCTTAGCGCCAGCGAGGAGCTGCTGCTCCTTGCTGGAATCACAGTAAGCACTGATGACTTAATTACCGAGTGGACGGCTCAGGATGAGTCTGAGCTGAGAGCACCCGTTAAGAGCCGTGCTTCACTAACTGTAAGCGACGAGCTGCTTCTCCTTGCTGGAAGCACAGTCAGCTCGGCTGAATTTATTACTACGGAATGGACAGACGCAGACGAAGAATACTTAAGAGATAACAGGGTAAGGAGTCCTGGAGTGCGAAGCGAGGGTGAAGGGGAGTCGCTGATGGCGACAGACAGGCCCCTGACCTCTGCTGATGTGGCTGTGATTGTCGGTCGTTTGGTTGAAGTGGGCAAGAAGCGCCGGGAACGAGGCCACGGAGCTCGTCTGGGCTTCTCTCCCTTGAGACCCGCTGTTTTCACGGCCGCTGCTGCTGCTGCTGTGGGTGCAGTTGCTGCTGCTGCAAGTGCTGCTGCTGACAGTATCTGTGCTGCTGCTACAGCTGCTGCTGACGCAGTTGGCGCTGCTGTTGCTGCTGCTATGCCTGCTGCAGCTGCTGCTGACGCAGTTGACGCTGCTGTTGCTTCTGCTATTCCTGCTGCTGTATGCAAGCCATCAGCACAATGTGCAGCGACGCCAACCATGAAGCCAGCTGCCAAACCGGCGGTGAAGCCAGCTGGCAAACCGTCGGTGAAGCCAGCTGCGAAACCAGCGGTGAAGCCAGCTGCAAAACCAGCGGTGGAGCCAGCTGCAAAACCAGCGGTGAAGCCAGCTGCTAAACCAGCGGTGAAGCCAGCTGCTAAACCAGCGGTGAAGCCAGCTGCTAAACCAGCGGTGAAGCCAGCTGCTAAACCAGCGGTGAAGCCAGCTGCTAAACCAGCAGTTAAGCCCGCTGGGAAGTCAGCAGAGCAGCCAGCAGCAAGACCGGCAGCCTGTGCAGCAGCAAGGAAGGTTACGCCGTGCAAGGTTGGGAAGGTTCTGGCTTCACCTTCGTAAGGGGAGGTGAAGAAGGGAGTGGAAGGAACAACAGGGAGGAGCAGTGTGCAGCGAGGCCAGGCTGTGAAAGCAGCCTCACAGAAACAAGCGTGCGAGAAACCTAGGTGGAAGTGATTGCTATGTTTAGTTATGTAGTGCAGCAATACATGTATATTTTGTAATTATTGCCAGTAAAGCACATTCTGTCAGTCTGTCTTCATGTGTCTTATGTGTCATTGCTACGTGTGTGTGTCAGTGGTATGAGAATGCCTTCATGCGGGCATTTCTGTTGCATATCTGTTCCATCACCAATAGAGCTTGGATCACACATGTGCATATGCATGTCTGTTGTGGGTGGCACAGATGTGCATTTCTGTCAAAACCCACGTGTGTATGTCTGATGAATCATGAATCACACATGTGCATGTCTGTTAGATCACACATGTGCATGTCTGTGCAATCTCTTTGTCATGTCACACATGTGCAAAGGTATTGAACATGTGCATGTCTGTTGAATCACACATGCCCATAACGGTTAAATCGCACGTGCATATCCGCTTTTTGTCTTGGTCGAATTATCATTGGATCACATGTGTGCATATCCGCTGTATCACCCATGCATCTGCCTGTCTTCACTGCATGCTTCTGCTGCTCCACCCATGCACATGTCCGTTGACTCTCGCTTCTGTTTGTTGCTGCAGTGGAGTGGGTCCAGCAGCTACTTTCTGGTGTGGCGGCGCTATTGTGATGGATCATGCCAGGTTGGATAATGCAATGCATTTCTAGGTACATGTTTTTGCGGAGCACCGCATATGCTGGGTACTGCCAGCCCGGACCGCCTACCCTCCACAACATGGGTGAAGCCTAGGGCGCCAGGGGGTCCCCCCCAGGGGCTCACAGGTGGATCGGCGTGGGAAAGGGGGCCTGGTTTCCTCCTGGGATCTCCTTAAAGCCCCAAAAAAAAAAAACAAATATGCGTACATGTGATTGTGTAAATCTGTAATTGCAGCAAAGGAACAGAGGCTCTCGGCATAGTATGGAGTTGGTGGCATGTTGGGGGGAGGGACAGTATTGCGGCTTAGCACGAACGAACGGGCGCTCCACTGTAACACATTCCACATGCTTCCTCTGCATCCTTGCTGAGAAATGTCTTGAAACTGAAAATGCCTGGATACCATTTTCAGGGCCAGAAGAAATCGAGAAGTCATCCATGTGCGCGTGGCCGTGCGATGGAGGCACCGGGCTTTGAAAGAGCTGCTGGAGTCGCTTCCTCAACGCAAGATTGTGAGTGTTCCACAATGATCTCTTACTGAATGTATCATGAGCGCCTGAGGCTGCAGTATTGCCATGATCCCTCCTTGCCGCCTCGATTTTAGCTCACGAAATTCATAATCCTTTCTTTCCGTGTCAAATTTCAGTCCCATCCTCTCTTCCCTTATATTTTTGAGCTGGTTGAATGCTCCTCTGCTGCTGTGGCTGCTGCTGCTGCTGCTACTGCTACTGCTGCTGCTGCTGCTACTGCTGCTGCTGCTGCTGCTGCTGCTGCTGCTGCTGCTGCTGCTGCTGCTGCTGCTGCTGCTGCTGCTGCTACTGCTGCTGCTGCTGCTGCTGCTGCTGCTGCTGCTGCTGCTGCTGCTGCTGCTGCTGCTGCTGCTAATGGTGGTTGTGATGCTTGTGCAGTGCAGAGGGCATGGCAGCACCAGCTTCACCTCAAACAGCACTTTTCCTGCAATGCCCATTCCTCGTTTGCTCTTATTTGCTCTTCTGTGCTCCTCTTTGCTCTTCTGTGCTCCTCTTTGCTCTTTTGTGCTCCTCTTTGCTCTTCTGTGCTCCTCTTTGCTCTTCTGTGCTCCTCTTCGCTCTTTTGTGCTCTTCTTAGCTGTTCTGTGCTCTTCTATTCTCGTCTTCACGAATCCACCCACCCTCGTGTGAATATAACACCAAGCGGTTCCTTGACTGCCTTTTTCGCAGGTTGGAACATCTCAACTCAAGCCCTGCCTTGCCTGGAGCGGGCCATGCCATCATAAAATGAAAAAGGGCATCTCCTGGCATTGTCGGAACTCTGCACAAACAATGTGACAGAAACGGTGGAGGAAGCTGTTCCAGAGTCCCCATGCATTGGCCGTCACAACAGAAGCCTGAGACTTATGGTGTGTGTGAACTACCTAGTTATTGCTTAGGACAAATTCCTACGGGTTGCATCAGACTAGCCTCTCTCGTCACACTCCCCTTCTTGCCTGAAACTGCTGCTTTGACTTCTAGTGGTTGCTATCCCCTTGTGTCTCGTGCAGATTTTCTGTCTTTCTGTCTGCTAATATGTCTGGAAGGAGTGGTTCAGCAATGACTCATGCAACCCTTTTAAAACCAGTATGCTAAAAAAAAAGGACATACTAGCAAAAAGGTGAGCACTACAAATAGACGAACTTGGATAATTGGTTTTAGTACAAATGGCGATTGTTGGCAAAATGTGATTTGTCAATGAAACATTGAGATATATTGGCAATGAAATATGTTAGTTGTAGGCATGTTTCGTTCACAGTAATGGGAGCGACTTACCGAGCATGCCACTTAGGGTTTGGTGCACCAGCAGCCTGATCCCATCTCGCCATTTTTGTCCTTCCAGCAGCCAATCTCAGCTCCCAGACATCCTCTCCCTCGCACCACGGATCTCTGCTTCTTTGCAGTAAACCGCCCAGATTTCCCTCACTGACCGCCTGTGTATATGCTGAAGCCCGCCCTTACTCGAGAATAGAGTTACCGTTGGATTACCTAGCGTATTGTGCCCACTTCACTCGGTGCGGTCTGACGTGGTCATCATTCGCGCCTTTTGTCAGCCGCCCTCGCCCACCTTGCTCAGGACAGACGCACAGTTTTCAAGCGTGCTCTGTCCACCGCACAGCCTGCCTATCCGTGACGTGGCGAAATGGGCTCACGTGCGAGAATACGAGCCAGGTATGACCCCACCACGCATGCCACGTCAGGCCACTTCCGTTCACATGTATGCGCTATTCATGTCGGTTCCAATCGGAGCCGTGGATGAAGTCCCGAAAGGCATGGAGCCGTTCGATCCGTAACTTTGCCAGCTATTGTTGCATCACCCACGTGAATGTGCTGGCGGAATTTCCCTTCGTGGACAAATCGTAGCCGCTGATGCTCTTCTAGAAGGAGTCTTGACAGTTAAAACCGTCCGATCTTCATCAGCCAAAGCGTGAGCTGGCTGGAAACCACGCTGGGTCCCGAAATTTGAGCGACACACCGGCCGCTTCGTGTTTGCCTGGCAGCGCAACGAACGAACGGTGGGGAAGCAACGTTCGCAAAGGTCCCTCCCTTCGCTAACCGGAGTCCCCCTCGCTGGCTGTAAGTAGAAATGGCACTCTGACTGCCATTTCTCTTCAGTCACAACTTTTGAGTTCAGCATCTTCTTAATCACACCCTCTTGCAAGCACACCCCCCTCGACCTTGCTCCTTGTGCCCAAGTCCCTCCCAACTGCTCTCACCCTGATGGCCTCGGTCAATCCCGAGACCGCTCTCGCGGCTGCTCTGGCTGCTGCCACGTTTCTTGGCACAGCAGCGAAATACCTCTGGCAAGTACCCTTCTGGTTCCACTGCTCTGCAGTGAACCAGACTCCCTTTGAATGGCTCTGCGATTGGACTGCTGCTGATGAGGCCGAGCTGAGAGCAGCTCCGGCCAAGACGCGACGTGGTACGCTGAATCCCAGCGAGGAGTTGCTGCTCCTGGCTGGCATTACAGTAAGCACGTCAGAGTTTATAACGGAATGGACTGCTGCTGATGAAGCTGAGCTGAGAGCAGCACCGGCCAAGACGCGCCGTGCTACGCTTAGCGCCAGCGAGGAGCTGCTGCTCCTTGCTGGAATCACAGTAAGCACTGATGACTTTATTACCGAGTGGACGGCTCAGGATGAGTCTGAGCTGAGAGCACCCGTTAAGAGCCGTGCTTCACTAACTGTAAGCGACGAGCTGCTTCTCCTTGCTGGAAGCACAGTCAGCTCGGCTGAATTTATTACTACGGAATGGACAGACGCAGACGAAGAATACTTAAGAGATAACAGGGTAAGGAGTCCTGGAGTGCGAAGCGAGGATGAAGGGGAGTCGCTGATGGCGACATACAGGCCCTTGACCTCTGCTGATGTGGCTGTGATTGTCGGTCGTTTGGTTGAAGTGGGCAAGAAGCGCCGGGAACGAGGCCACGGAGCTCGTCTGGGCTTCTCTCCCTTGCGACCCGCTGTTTTCACGGCCGCTGCTGCTGCTGCTGTGGGTGCAGTTGCTGCTGCTGCAAGTGCTGCTGCTGACACTATCTGTGCTGCTGCTACAGCTGCTGCTGACGCAGTTGGCGCTGCTGTTGCTGCTGCTATGCCTGCTGCAGCTGCTGCTGACGCCGTTGGCGCTGCTGTTGCTGCTGCTATGCCTGCTGCAGCTTCTGCTGACGCCGTTGCTGCTGCTATCCCTGCTGCTGTATGCAAGCCATCAGCTCAACGTGCAGCGACGCCAACCATGAAGCCAGCTGCGAAACCAGTGGTGAAGCCAGCTGCTAAACCGGCGGTGAAGCCAGCTGCGAAACCAGCGGTAAAGCCAGCTGCGAAACCAGCGGTGAAGCCAGCTGCGAAACCAGCGGTGAAGCCAGCTGCTAAACCGGCGGTGAAGCCAGCTGCCAAACCGGCGGTGAAGCCAGCTGCTAAACCCGCGGTGAAGCCAGCTGCGAAACTAGCGGTGAAGCCAGCTGCTAAACCAGCGGTGAAGCCAGCTGCTAAACAAGCCCGCTGGGAAGTCAGTAGAACAGCCAGCAGCAAGACCAGCAGCCTGTGCTGCAGCAGCAAGGAAGGTTACGCCGTGCAAGGTTGGGAAGCTTCTGGCTTCACCTTCGAAAGGGGAGGTGAAGAAAGGAGTGGAAGGAACAACAGGGAGGAGCAGTGTGCAGCGAGGCCAGGCTGTGAAAGCAGCCTCACAGAAACAAGCGTGCGAGAAACCTAGGTGGAAGTGATTGCTATGTGCAGCTATGTAGTGTAGCAATAGATGTATATTTTGTAATTATTGCTAGTAAAGCACATTGTCATTCTGTCAGTCTGTCTTCGTGTGTCTTATGCGTCATTGCTACGTGTGTGTCTCGGTGGTGTGAGAATGCCTTCATGCGGGCATTTCTGTTGCATATCTGTTCCATCACCAAGAGAGCTTGGATCACACATGTGCATATGCATGTCTGTTGTGGATGGCACACATGTGCATTTCTGTCAAAACCCACATGTGCATGTCTGATGAATCACACATGTGCATGTCTGTTGGATCACACATCTGCATGTCTGTCAAATCACACATGTACATGTCTGTTACTGCATGTCTGTTAGGCTGGATATCACATGCGCATATGCATTTCTGTTGTGGGTGGCACACATGTGCATTTCTGTCAAAACCCACATGTGCATCTCTGATGAATCACACATGTGCATGTCTGTTGTATGATTGTATCACACGTGTGCCAGTCGGTTTCTGTTAGACCACACATGTGCATGTCTGTTAGATCACACATGTGCATGTCTTTGGAATCGCTTTGTCATGTCACACATGTGCAAAGGTATTGGACATGTGCATGTCTGTTGAATCACACATGTCCATAACGGTTGAATGGCACGTGCTTTTTGTCTTGGTCGAATTATCAGTGGATGACATGTGTGCATATCCGCTGTATCACCCATGCATCTGCCTGTCTTCACTGCATGCTTCTGCTGCTCCACCCATGCACATGTCTGTTGACTCTCGCTTCTGTTTGTTGCTGCAGTGGAGTGAGTCCAGCAGCTACTTTCTGGTGTGGCGGTGCTATTGTGATGGATCATGCCAGCTTGGATTATGCAATGCATTTCTGCGTACATGTGATTGTGTAAATATGTAATTGCAGCAAAGGAAGGAACAGAGGCTCTCGGCATAGTATGGAGTTGGTGGCATGTTGGGGGGAGGGACAGTATTGCGGCTTAGCACGAACGAACGGGCGCTCCACTGTAACACATTCCACGTGCTTCCTCTGCATCCTTGCTGAGAAATGTCTTGAAACTGAAAATGCCTGGATACCATTTTCAGGGCCAGAAGAAATCGAGAAGTCATCCATGTGCGCATGGCCGTGCGATGGAGGCACCGGGCTTTAAGAGAGCTGCTGGAGTCGCTTCCTCAACGCAAGATTGTGAGTGTTCCACAATGATCTCTTACTGAATGTATCATGAGCGCCTGAGGCTGCAGTATTGCCATGATCCCTCCGTGCCGCCTCAATTTTAGCTCACGGAATTCACAATCCTTTCTTTCCGTGTCAAATTTCAGTCCCATCCTCTCTTCCCTTGTCCTTGCTTATGCATCTCAACAGCCCCGCTTCGCTGGCTCACTTGACCCCCATTACCGCCCCCCAACCCCCTCCATCCCCACAGGCGTTCACCAATTCCGATTGCACCTGTGCCAGTTGCAGCCTCCTCTCGCTTGGTCCGCAGGGCCGTTCACATTCGCCAGAATACTTTCTCTATTACGTCCTGCACCCCCACCACACCAGTCGCTGCATGGGCCTGCTCGGCCTGGAAGGGTGCTTAAAGGCCGTGATTGCCAAGGTTCAAAAATACGGTTTTCGAAAAATACGGTCCGTATTATTCGGCCGTTTTTTTCGGGGATTTTTTGAAAAAAACGCCGTTTTTTAAATAGAGCATCTTTTTTTTTTTTTTTTTTTTTTTTTTTTTGCTAGACAGCCTAATCGTCTGCCATTCGTCCGCCCAAATGCGAGATCCGCGCATTTCGACGGGCGAAATGTCAGATCTGCGTATTTTGGCTGACAAAACGTCAGATCCATGCATATCGTCCACAAAAAACGCAAAATCTGGCACATTTTGGTGGGAAAAATGCCAGATCTGTGCATTTGGGCGGGCAAAATGCCAGATCCGCGCATTTCGTCCGATTTTTTTGCACCTTTTTAAATATTTCGGCCGTTTTTTTTAACCAACCTATTTTTGCACAATTTTCACCGTTTTTTTCGTATTTAACGGCCGTTTCATTCGATACCGTTTAATACGGTATTTTTTTTTGAAAAAAACGGCGTTTTTTTTAACCCTGCTGATTGCATTACAAGATGCCATGCAGCAGCAGCAGACATCCCAGCCCTTCTCCCAGACAGACGTTTTCGACCCCTTTGGAATCATACCATTCCCCCACGGGCCACGGCATCATGGCTTCCTTTTTGTTGCCCTGCCATTCTCCCACGACGCCATGGCTATTCCTGTTTCTCCCTGCCATACTAGGCTACCTTCCTGCCTCCCTCCCATTCCCTCCTCCTCCACTGCATCCCTCCCCTCCTCTGCCCTGCTTAGTGATCGCAGCAATAGCAGCAGCAGTGGCAGCAGCTCTCCAGAGCATTCAAGTGACAGTCAGGATTTGCAAGGGGCACAAATCGGCAGCAGTAGCAGCAGAAGCAGCAGCAGCAGCAGCAGCAGCAGCAGCAGCAGCAGCAGCAGCAGCAGCAGCAGCAGCAGCAGCAGCAGTAGCAGTAGCAGCAGCAGCAGCCACAGCAGCAGCAGCAGCAGCAGCAGCAGCAGTAGCAGTAGCAGCAGCAGCAGCAGTAGCAGTAGCACCAGCAGCAGCAGCCACAGCAGCAGCAGCAGCAGCAGCAGCAGCAGCAGCAGCAGCAGCAGCAGCAGCAGCAGCCGCAACAGCAGCGAGGGGAGGGTTTGAAGCAGCATACACCTGAGCAGCTAGGCCTTCCCCTGATGCCGCCTGTCCAGTGCGCCAGCAGATGCTGCACTGGTGTGGATGGCCTCCAAGAGCACGTGGCTGAACACTTGCTTTTAGCAGCTCCCACTGCTGCTGCTGCTGCTGCTGCTGCTACTGCTGCTGCTGCTGCTGCTGCTGCTGCTGCTGCTGCTGCTGCTGCTGCTGCTGCTGCTGCTGCTAATGGTGGTTGTGATGCTTGTGCAGTGCAGAGGGCATGGCAGCACCAGCTTCACCTCAAACAGCACTTTTCCTGCAATGCCCATTCCTCGTTTGCTCTTATTTGCTCTTCTGTGCTCCTCTTTGCTCTTCTGTGCTCCTCTTTGCTCTTTTGTGCTCCTCTTTGCTCTTCTGTGCTCCTCTTTGCTCTTCTGTGCTCCTCTTCGCTCTTTTGTGCTCTTCTTAGCTGTTCTGTGCTCTTCTATTCTCGTCTTCACGAATCCACCCACCCTCGTGTGAATATAACACCAAGCGGTTCCTTGACTGCCTTTTTCGCAGGTTGGAACATCTCAACTCAAGCCCTGCCTTGCCTGGAGCGGGCCATGCCATCATAAAATGAAAAAGGGCATCTCCTGGCATTGTCGGAACTCTGCACAAACAATGTGACAGAAACGGTGGAGGAAGCTGTTCCAGAGTCCCCATGCATTGGCCGTCACAACAGAAGCCTGAGACTTATGGTGTGTGTGAACTACCTAGTTATTGCTTAGGACAAATTCCTACGGGTTGCATCAGACTAGCCTCTCTCGTCACACTCCCCTTCTTGCCTGAAACTGCTGCTTTGACTTCTAGTGGTTGCTATCCCCTTGTGTCTCGTGCAGATTTTCTGTCTTTCTGTCTGCTAATATGTCTGGAAGGAGTGGTTCAGCAATGACTCATGCAACCCTTTTAAAACCAGTATGCTAAAAAAAAAGGACATACTAGCAAAAAGGTGAGCACTACAAATAGACGAACTTGGATAATTGGTTTTAGTACAAATGGCGATTGTTGGCAAAATGTGATTTGTCAATGAAACATTGAGATATATTGGCAATGAAATATGTTAGTTGTAGGCATGTTTCGTTCACAGTAATGGGAGCGACTTACCGAGCATGCCACTTAGGGTTTGGTGCACCAGCAGCCTGATCCCATCTCGCCATTTTTGTCCTTCCAGCAGCCAATCTCAGCTCCCAGACATCCTCTCCCTCGCACCACGGATCTCTGCTTCTTTGCAGTAAACCGCCCAGATTTCCCTCACTGACCGCCTGTGTATATGCTGAAGCCCGCCCTTACTCGAGAATAGAGTTACCGTTGGATTACCTAGCGTATTGTGCCCACTTCACTCGGTGCGGTCTGACGTGGTCATCATTCGCGCCTTTTGTCAGCCGCCCTCGCCCACCTTGCTCAGGACAGACGCACAGTTTTCAAGCGTGCTCTGTCCACCGCACAGCCTGCCTATCCGTGACGTGGCGAAATGGGCTCACGTGCGAGAATACGAGCCAGGTATGACCCCACCACGCATGCCACGTCAGGCCACTTCCGTTCACATGTATGCGCTATTCATGTCGGTTCCAATCGGAGCCGTGGATGAAGTCCCGAAAGGCATGGAGCCGTTCGATCCGTAACTTTGCCAGCTATTGTTGCATCACCCACGTGAATGTGCTGGCGGAATTTCCCTTCGTGGACAAATCGTAGCCGCTGATGCTCTTCTAGAAGGAGTCTTGACAGTTAAAACCGTCCGATCTTCATCAGCCAAAGCGTGAGCTGGCTGGAAACCACGCTGGGTCCCGAAATTTGAGCGACACACCGGCCGCTTCGTGTTTGCCTGGCAGCGCAACGAACGAACGGTGGGGAAGCAACGTTCGCAAAGGTCCCTCCCTTCGCTAACCGGAGTCCCCCTCGCTGGCTGTAAGTAGAAATGGCACTCTGACTGCCATTTCTCTTCAGTCACAACTTTTGAGTTCAGCATCTTCTTAATCACACCCTCTTGCAAGCACACCCCCCTCGACCTTGCTCCTTGTGCCCGAGTCCCTCCCAACTGCTCTCACCCTGATGGCCTCGGTCAATCTCGAGACCGCTCTCGCGGCTGCTCTGGCTGCTGCCACGTTTCTTGGCACAGCAGCGAAATACCTCTGGCAAGTACCCTTCTGGTTCCACTGCTCTGCAGTGAACCAGACTCCCTTTGAATGGCTCTGCGATTGGACTGCTGCTGATGAGGCCGAGCTGAGAGCAGCTCCGGCCAAGACGCGACGTGGTACGCTGAATCCCAGCGAGGAGTTGCTGCTCCTGGCTGGCATTACAGTAAGCACGTCAGAGTTTATAACGGAATGGACTGCTGCTGATGAAGCTGAGCTGAGAGCAGCACCGGCCAAGACGCGCCGTGCTACGCTGAATCCCAGCGAGGAGCTGCTGCTCCTTGCTGGAATCACAGTAAGCACTGATGACTTTATTACCGAGTGGACGGCTCAGGATGAGTCTGAGCTGAGAGCACCCGTTAAGAGCCGTGCTTCACTAACTGTAAGCGACGAGCTGCTTCTCCTTGCTGGGAGCACAGTCAGCTCGGCTGAATTTATTACTACGGAATGGACAGACGCAGACAAAAAATACTTAAGAGATAACAGGGTAAGGAGTCCTGGAGTGCGAAGCGAGGGTGAAGGGGAGTCGCTGATGGCGACATACAGGCCCCTGACCTCTGCTGATGTGGCTGTGATTGTCGGTCGTTTGGTTGAAGTGGGCAAGAAGCGCCGGGAACGAGGCCACGGAGCTCGTCTGGGCTTCTCTCCCTTGAGACCCGCTGTTTTCACGGCCGCTGCTGCTGCTGCTGTGGGTGCAGTTGCTGCTGCTGCAAGTGCTGCTGCTGACACTATCTGTGCTGCTGCTACAGCTGCTGCTGACGCAGTTGGCGCTGCTGTTGCTGCTGCTATGCCTGCTGCAGCTGCTGCTGACGCCGTTGCTGCTGCTATGCCTGCTGCTGTATGCAAGCCATCAGCACAACGTGCAGCGACGCCAATCATGAAGCCAGCTGCGAAACCAGTGGTGAAGCCAGATGCTAAACCGGCGGTGAAGCCAGCTGCGAAACCGGCGGTGAAGCCAGCTGCGAAACCGGCGGTGAAGCCAGCTGCTAAACCAGCGGTCAATCCAGCTGCCAAACCAGCTGTGAAGCCAGCTTCTAAACCAGCGGTGAAGCCAGCTGCTATACCAGTGGTGAAGCCAGCTGCTAAACCAGCGGTGAAGCCAGCTGCTAAACCAGCATTTAAGCCCGCTGTGAAGTCAGCAGAGCAGCCAGCAGCAAGACCAGCAGCCTGCGCAGGAGCAAGGAAGGTTACGCCGTGCAAGGTTGGGAAGGTTCCAGCTTCACCTTCGAAAGGGGAGGTGAAGAAGGGAGTGGAAGGACCAACAGGGAGGAGCAGTGTGCAGCGAGGCCAGGCTGTGAAAGCAGCCTCACAGAAACAAGCGTGCGAGAAACCTAGGTGGAAGTGATTGCTATGTCTAGCTATGTAGTGTAGCAATACATGTACATTTTGTAATAATTGCTAGTAAAGCACATTCTAATATTCTGTCACTCTATCAAAACGCACATGTGCATGTCTTTCGAATCACATGTGCATGTCTGTCGCTTTGCTGTGCCCCACATGCACAAAGGTATTGGACATGTGCATGTCTGTTGAATCACACATGCCCATAATGGTTGAATCGCACATGCATTGGGCTGTGTTTAGGCTGTCCACTTGCAACAGCCACGTTATGCCAGGTCAGCTGAGTCACATTCCGCGTTCACTACCCACCACTGCAGGTGTTCACCCATGCAGATCGCGCCCACGCCAGTCGCTGTCTGCGCATGCTCGGGCTGGAGCGCTGCTTCGACACCATGATTGCCGTTGAGGATGTCATTCATGCAGCGGCAGCCCTTCCTCTTCTCGTTTAGTGAGTGCGTCCACATCTGTTTCCTCGCACACCTCTGTGCTCCCCATCCCCCCCCGGCACCTTGTCCCATCACACACCACCTCCAGCTGCTTAACAATGCCATGTCCAAATGGTGTCACAGCCTGCATACAGACCACCACTTCTGGCTGCCATAAGCAACAGGCACGGATTCTCAACCCGCATAAGCTCCCTCCCTGCACCCGTGACCACCCCTGCAGATCCACGCAGATCCGCTCACGCAGCTCATGCTCGGCCTGGAGGGCTGCCACACAATGCCGGTCTCTGTCTCAGCCTGCCGTCTGACCTCGCCTTCCAGCACTTCCTACCATTCCCTCCACCTCCTCCTCCCTTCTCTTCCCTTCTCTTCCTCGGCAGTAGCCTTGCTCGCTCACTTTCAGCAACTCCTGCTGTTGCTGCTGCTGCTGCTGCTGCTGCTGCTGCTGCTGCTGCTGCTCTCGGTGTTTGTGATGCTTGTGCAGTGCGAAGGGCAACAGTGCCGGCAGCAGGGGCAGCGGGGAGGGCAGCAGATGGGGAAGCAGCGTCAGCACCCCATACAGTTTAGGAGAATTCATTGGGCCGTTCAGATGACCATTCAGGGATATATGTCTCAGATTTGTGTGTGCGAGCGCACTGTCATCTTTTGTCGTATTGCATATCTTCATAACTCAATAACTTTTCTGTGTTCCTTTCCATGACCCTGCATGCATGCTCCGTCACAGATAATGTTTGATGACGGCACACGCAACATTGCAGCAGCCAAGAAATTCGGCATGCATACACTTGTGCTTGGCTGCACAATCTTCCCTATTGTTCAGTTCTGTATCCCCCTCGCAAGATCAGGTTTCCTGCTCCTTTGCCTGTCGTCATGATCCCATGGGCCTTGACCACTCCTCATCTGCTCTTCTTTGCAAATTTCCTGTGTTCAATGCTGGTAGCCCACTCCCTCTTCTTTGTTGCCTGTGGATATGCTGCCATTGCTGCCTTTTCTGCAAATTGGAGCATCACAATCATCACCAGGATCAGACCACCCCATACATACCAAACGTTCACGAATTAAAACAGGGCATCCCGACAACGTGGGAGCTGTCCACAAACAGCGTGACAGAGATGGTGAAGGTCGGTCTTTTAGAGTTCCCATGCATTTGTCATCACAACAGAAACCTGGGCCTTGTGTTCGCTTGAAGTACCCAATATAATTGCGCGCCGTTTTGGGATTCGGCATGGTGTACATTTTCTATTGATTGAAGCATTCTATTTGTTAGATGTATTTTATTATAGTTTCTGCTGGGATTGTTTCGGATGGGATGGGATGGGAGTGATTCTGCAGCACACTTATGGACCACTTCTGAAATATGTAGATTGAGATTTGACGAAGCGAGCAATAACGGATGGACGGCATCACAATTTCATATGATTTTTTTCAGAAAAGGTGATCGTTGAACAATGAGAATGGAACGAAATATCAACAGAGTAAAGATAGATGTAGTATAGTAACGGCTCCATCTTACCGAGTATGCTACCTAGGTTTGGCGCACCACCAACCCGATCCCATCTCGCCATTTTTCTCCCTCCACCAGCCAATCTCAGCTCCTAGACATCCCCATTCCTCCCACCAATATCTAGTTCGCAGTCAACCGCCCAGACTTACCTCACTCACCGCCCGCAAGCTCGCTGAAGGCCCGCCCTTGCTTAGTAAAGAATGTAGTGTTACCACAGGATTATGTAGCATATTGCCGCAAAGCACTTGGCGCGGTCTCACGTGATCATCATTCGCGCCTTTCCTCAGCCGCCCTCGCTCACCTCGCTAACGAGTTCAGGACAGCCGCACAGTTTTCCAGCGTGCTCTGTCCACCGCACAGCCCGCCTATCTGTGACGTGGCGAAATGGGTTCATGTGCGAGATTACGTACCAGGTATGACCCCACTACGCATGCCACGTGACGGGTTCCGTTCACGTGCATGCGCTGTTATCGTCGGTGCCAATCCCAGCCGTTGATGAACTCCCGAGAAGTACGGAACGTTTTCAGCCGTCCGATCTGTAACTCGGCCAGCTATTGTGACGTCACCCACGTGAATGTTCTGGCGGATGTACAAGACGTGGACAGATCGCAGCCATCGATGCTCTTCTGGAAGGTAGGCGAAGCAGATTAACGGTCCGATTCTCGTCAGCCGAGTGCGCGCTGGCAGCAATAATGACCATTCGTGGGGTCCCGAAAGTTGAGCGACCCACTGCCCCCCTCGCGTTTCCCTGACAGCGCGATGAACGAACGGTGGGAAAGGGACGTTTGCGAACGTCCCTTCCTTCGCTAACGAGTGTTCCCCTCGCTGGCTGTCAGTAGAAATGGCACTCTGACTGCCATTTCTCTTCAGTCACAGCTTTTGAGTTCAGCATCTTCTTAATCACACCCTCTTGCAAGCACACCCCCCTCGACCTTGCTCCTTGTGCCCGAGTCCCTCCCAACTGCTCTCACCCTGATGGCCTCGGTCAATCCCGAGACCGCTCTCGCGGCTGCTCTGGCTGCTGCCACGTTTCTTGGCACTGCAGCGAAATACCTCTGGCAAGTACCCTTCTGGTTCGACTGCTCTGCAGTGAACCAGACTCCCTTTGAATGGCTCTGCGATTGGACTGCTGCTGATGAGGCCGAGCTGAGAGCAGCTCCGGCCAAGACGCGACGTGGTACGCTGAATCCCAGCGAGGAGTTGCTGCTCCTGGCTGGCATTACAGTAAGCACGTCAGAGTTTATAACGGAATGGACTGCTGCTGATGAAGCCGAGCTGAGAGCAGCACCGGCCAAGACGCGCCGTGCTACGCTTAGCGCCAGCGAGGAGCTGCTGCTCCTTGCTGGAATCACAGTAAGCACTGATGACTTTATTACCGAGTGGACGGCTCAGGATGAGTCTGAGCTGAGAGCACCCATTAAGAGCCGTGCTTCACTAACTGTAAGCGACGAGCTGCTTCTCCTTGCTGGGAGCACAGTCAGCTCGGCTGAATTTATTTCAACGGAATGGACAGACGCAGACGAAGAATACTTAAGAGATAACAGGGTAAGGAGTCCTGGAGTGCGAAGCGAGGGTGAAGGGGAGTCGCTGATGGCGAAATACAGGCCCTTGACCTCTGCTGATGTGGCTGTGATTGTCGGTCGTTTGGTTGAAGTGGGCAAGAAGCGCCGGGAACGAGGCCACGGAGCTCGTCTGGGCTTCTCTCCCTTGAGACCCGCTGTTTTCACGGCCGCTGCTGCTGCTGCTGTGGGTGCAGTTGCTGCTGCTGCAAGTGCTGCTGCTGACACTATCTGTGCTGCTGCTACAGCTGCTGCTGACGTAGTTGGCGCTGCTGTCGCTGCTGCTATGCCTGCTGCAGCTGCTGCTGACGCAGTTGGCGCTGCTGTTACTGCTGCTATGCCTGCTGCTGTATGCAAGCCATCAGCACAACGTGCAGCGACGCCAACCATGAAGCCAGCTGCGAAACCAGTGGTGAAGCCAGCTGCGAAACCGGCGGTGAAGCCAGCTGCGAAACCAGCGGTGAATCCAGCTGCCAAATCAGCGGTGAAGCCAGCTGCGAAACCAGCGTTGAAGCCAGCTGCCAAACCGGCGGTGAAGCCAGCTGCGAAACCAGCGGTGAAGCCAGCTACTAAACCAGCGGTGAAGCCAGCTGCTAAACCAGTGGTGAAGCCAGCTGCTAAACCAGCGGTGAAGCCAGCTGCTAAACCAGCGGTGAAGCCAGCTGCTAAACCAGCGGTGAAGCCAGCTGCTAAACCAGCGGTGAAGCCAGCTGCTAAACCAGCGGTGAAGCCAGCTGCTAAACCAGCAGTTAAGCCCGCTGGGAAGTCAGCAGAGCAGCCAGCAGCAAGACCAGCAGCCTGTGCAGCAGCAAGGAAGGTTACGCCGTGCAAGGTTGGGAAGGTTCCAGCTTCACCTTCGAAAGGGGAGGTGAACAAAGGAGTGGAAGGAACAACAGGGAGGAGCAGTGTGCAGCGAGGCCAGGCTGTGAAAGCAGCCTCACAGAAACAAGCGTGCGAGAAACCTAGGTGGAAGTGATTGCTATGTCTAGTTATGTAGTGGAGCAATACATGTACATTTTGTAATTAGTGCTAGTAAAGCACATTCTGTTATTCTGTCACTCTATCAAAACGCGCATGTGCATGTCTGTCGAATCACATGTGCATGTCTGTCGCTTTGCTGTGTCACACATGCACAAAGGTATTGGACATGTGCATGTCTGTTGAATCACACATGTCCATGTCTGTTGAATCACACATGTCCATGTCTGTTGAATCACACAGCCTGCCGTCTGACCTCGCCTTCCAGCCTTCCTACCATTCCCTCCACCTCCTCCTCCCTTTCTCTTCTTGAAATCCCTTCTCTTCCTCGGCAGTAGCCTTGCTCGCTCACTTTCAGCAACTCCTGCTGCTGCTGCTGCTGGTGCTCTCGGTGTTTGTGATGCTTGTGCAGTGCGAAGGGCAACATTGCCGGCAGCAGGGGCAGCGGGGAGGGCAGCAGATGGGGAAGCAGCGTCAGCACCCCATACAGTTTAGGATGGTTTAGCAGCGTCAAGGATATATGTCTCAGATTTGTGTGTGCGAGTGCACTGTCATCTTTTGTCGTATTGCATATCTTCATGACTCAATAACTTTTCTGTGTCCCTTTCCATGACCCTGCATGCATGCTCTGTCACAGATGATGTTTGATGACGGCACACACAACATTGCAGCAGCCAAGAAATTCGGCATGCATACACTTGTGCTTGGCTGCACAATCTTCCCTATTGTTCAGTTCTGTATCCCCCTCGCAAGATCATGTTTCCTGCTCCTTTGCCTGTCGTCATGATCCCATGGGCCTTGACCACTCCTCATCTGCTCTTCTTTGCAAATTTCCTGTGTTCAATACTGGTAGCCCATTCCCTCTTCCTTGTTGCCTGCGGATATGCTGCCATTGCTGCCTTTTCTGCAAATTGGGGCATCACAATCATCACCTGGAGCAGACCACCCCATACATACAAAACATTCACGAATTAAAACAGGGCATCCCGACAACGTGGGAGCTGTCCACAAACAGCGTGACAGAGATGGTGAAGGTCGGTCTTTTAGAGTCCCCATGCATTTGTCATCACAACAGAAACCTGGGCCTTGTGTTCGCTTGAAGTACCCAATATAATTGCGCGCCGTTTTGGGATTCGGCATGGTGTACAATTTCTATAGATTGAAGCATTCTATTTGTTAGATGTATTTTATTATAGTTTCTGCTGGGATTGTCTCGGATGGGATGAGATGGGAGTGATTCTGCAGCACACTTATGGACCACTTCTGAAATATGTAGATTGAGATTTGACGAAGCGAGCAATAACGGATGGACGGCATAACTCTGATTTCTTTTAGAAAAGGTCATCGTTGAACAATGAGAATGGAACGAAATATCAACAGCGTAAAGATAGATGTAGTATTAGTAACGGCTCCATCTTACCGAGTATGCTACCTAGGTTTGGCGCACCACCAAACTGATCCCAGCTCGCCATTTTTCTCCCTCCACCGGCCAATCTCAGCTCCTAGACATCCCCATTCCTCCCACCAATATCTAGTTCGCAGTCAACCGCCCAGACTTTTCTCACTCACCGCCCACAAGCTCGCTGAAGGCCCGCCCTTGCTTACTAAAGAGTGTAGAGTTACCACAGGATTATGTAGCATATTGTCACAAAGCACTTGGGGCGGTCTCACGTGATCATCATTCGCGCCTTTCTTCAGCCGCCCTCGCTCACCTCGCTAACGAGTTCAGGACAGCCGCACAGTTTTCCAGCGTGCTCTGTCCACCGCACAGCCCGCCTATCTGTGACGCGGCGAAATGGGTTCATGTGCGAGATTACGTACCAGGTATGACCCCACCACGCATGCCACGTGACGGGTTCCGTTCACGTGCATGCGCTGTTATCGTCGGTGCCAATCCCAGCCGTTGATGAACTCCCGAGAAGTACGGAACGTTTTCAGCCGTCCGATCTGTAACTCGGCCAGCTATTGTGACGTCACCCACATGAATGTTCTGGCGCATGTACAAGACGTGGACAGATCGCAGCCGTCGATGCCCTTCTGGAAGGTACGCGAAGCAGATTAACGGTCCGATTCTCGTCAGCCGAGTGCGCGCTGGCAGCAATAATGACCATTCGTGGGGTCCCGAAAGTTGAGCGACCCACTGCCCCCCTCGCGTTTCCCTGACAGCGTGACGAACGAACGGTGGGGAAGGGACGTTTGCGAACGTCCCTTCCTTCGCTAACGAGTGTTCCCCTCGCTGGCTGTCAGTAGAAATGGCACTCTGACTGCCATTTCTCTTCAGTCACAGCTTTTGAGTTCAGCATCTTCTTAATCACACCCTCTTGCAAGCACACCCCCCTCGACCTTGCTCCTTGTGCCCGAGTCCCTCCCAACTGCTCTCACCCTGATGGCCTCGGTCAATCCCGAGACCGCTCTCGCGGCTGCTCTGGCTGCTGCCACGTTTCTTGGCACTGCAGCGAAATACCTCTGGCAAGTACCCTTCTGGTTCGACTGCTCTGCAGTGAACCAGACTCCCTTTGAATGGCTGTGCGATTGGACTGCTGCTGATGAGGCCGAGCTGAGAGCAGCTCCGGCCAAGACGCGACGTGGCACGCTGAGTCCCAGCGAGGAGCTGCTGCTCCTGGCTGGCATTACAGTGAGCACGTCAGAGTTTATAACGGAATGGACTGCTGCTGATGAAGCCGAGCTGAGAGCAGCACCGGCCAAGACGCGCCGTGCTACGCTTAGCGCCAGCGAGGAGCTGCTGCTCCTTGCTGGAATCACAGTAAGCACTGATGACTTTATAACCGAGTGGACGGCTCAGGATGAGTCTGAGATGAGAGCACCCGTTAAGAGCCGTGCTTCACTAACTGTAAGCGACGAGCTGCTTCTCCTTGCTGGAAGCACAGTCAGCTCGGCTGAATTTATTACTACGGAATGGACAGACGCAGACGAAGAATACTTGAGAGATAACAGGGTTAGGAGTCCTGGAGTGCAAAGCGAGGGTGAAGGGGAGTCGCTGATGGCGACATACAGGCCCCTGACCTCTGCTGATGTGGCTGTGATTGTCGGTCGTTTGGTTGAAGTGGGCAAGAAGCGCCGGGAACGAGGCCACGGAGCTCGTCTGGGCTTCTCTCCCTTGAGACCCGCTGTTTTCACGGCCGCTGCTGCTGCTGCTGTGGGTGCAGTTGCTGCTGCTGCAAGTGCTGCTGCTGACACTATCTGTGCTGCTGCTACAGCTGCTGCTGACGTAGTTGGCGCTGCTGTCGCTGCTGCTATGCCTGCTGCAGCTGCTGCTGACGCAGTTGGCGCTGCTGTTACTGCTGCTATGCCTGCTGCTGTATGCAAGCCATCAGCACAACGTGCAGCGACGCCAACCATGAAGCCAGCTGCGAAACCAGTGGTGAAGCCAGCTGCGAAACCGGCGGTGAAGCCAGCTGCGAAACCAGCGGTGAATCCAGCTGCCAAATCAGCGGTGAAGCCAGCTGCGAAACCAGCGTTGAAGCCAGCTGCCAAACCGGCGGTGAAGCCAGCTGCGAAACCAGCGGTGAAGCCAGCTACTAAACCAGCGGTGAAGCCAGCTGCTAAACCAGCGGTGAAGCCAGCTGCTAAACCAGTGGTGAAGCCAGCTGCTAAACCAGCGGTGAAGCCAGCTGCTAAACCAGCGGTGAAGCCAGCTGTTAAACCAGCGGTGAAGCCAGCTGCTAAACCAGCGGTGAAGCCAACTGCTAAACCAGCGGTGAAGCCAGCTGCTAAACCAGCAGTTAAGCCCGCTGGGAAGTCAGCAGAGCAGCCAGCAGCAAGACCAGCAGCCTGTGCAGCAGCAAGGAAGGTTACGCCGTGCAAGGTTGGGAAGGTTCCAGCTTCACCTTCGAAAGGGGAGGTGAAGAAGGGAGTGGAAGGAACAACAGGGAGGAGCAGTGTGCAGCGAGGCCAGGCTGTGAAAGCAGCCTCACAGAAACAAGCGTGCGAGAAACCTAGGTGGAAGTGATTGATATGTCTAGTTATGTAGTGCAGCAATACATGTATATTTTGTAATTATTGCTAGTAAAGCACATTCTGTCAGTCTGTCTTCGTGTGTCTTATGTGTCATTGCTACGTGTGTGTCTCAGTGGTGTGAGAATGCCTTCATGCGGGCATTTCTGTTGCATATCTGTTCCATCACAAATAGAGCTTGGATCACACATGTGCATATGCATGTCTGTTGTGGGTGGCACACATGTGCATTTCTGTCAAAACCCACATGTGCATGTCTGATGAATCACACATGTGCATGTCTGTTGGATCACACATGTGCATGTCTGTTACTGCACGTCTGTTAGGCTGGATAACACATGCGCATATGCATTTCTGTTGTGGGTGGCACACATTTGCATTTCTGTCAAATCCCACCCCCATGTGCAGTCTGATGAATCACACAAGTGCATGTCTGTTGTATCACACGTGTGCCAGTCGATTTCTGTTAGACCACACATGTGCATGTCTGTTAGATCACACATGTGCATGTCTGTGGAATCTCTTTGTCATGTCACACATGTGCAAAGGTATTGGACATGTGCATGTCTGTTGAATCACACATGCCCATAACGGTTGAATGGCACGTGCTCTTAGTCTTGGTCGAATTATCAGTGGATGACATGTGTGCATATCCGCTGTATCACCCATGCATCTGCCTGTCTTCACTGCATGCTTCTGCTGCTCCACCCATGCACATCCGTTGATTCTCGCTTCTGTTTGTTGCTGCAGTGGAGTGAGTCCAGCAGCTAATTTCTGGTGTGGCGGCGCTATTGTGATGGATCATGCCAGCTTGGATTATGCAATGCATTTCTGCGTACATGTGATTGTGTAAATCTGTAATTGCAGCAAAGGAAGGAACAGAGGCTCTCGGCGTAGTATGGAGTTGGTGGCATGTTGGGGGGAGGGACAGCATGTTGGGGGAAGCACCGGGCTTTAAGAGAGCTGCTGGAGTCGCTTCCTCAACGCACGGTTGAGAGTGTTCCACAATGATCTTTTACTGAATGTATCATGAGCGCCTGAGGCTGCAGTATTGCCATGATCCCTCCTTGCCGCCTCAATTTTAGCTCACGGAATTCATAATCCTTTCTTTCCGTGTCAAATTTCAGTCCCATCCCTCTCTTCCCTTTTATTTTTGAACTGGTTGAATGCTCCTCTTTTGGTTCCCACACTTCTGTGGTCCCCATTACTCTCCCCCCCGTGTCCTTGCTTATGCATCTCAACAGCCCCGCTTCGCTGGCTCACTTGACCCCCATTACCGCCCCCCGACCCCCTCCATCCCCACAGGCGCTCACCAATTCCGATTGCACCTGTGCCGGTTGCAGCCTCCTCTCGCTTGGTCCGCAGGGCCGTTCACATTCGCCAGAATACTTTCTCTATTACGTCCTGCACCCCCACCATACCAGTCGCTGCATGGGCCTGCTCGGCCTGGAAGGGTGCTTCGACGCCGTGACTGCATTACAAGATGCCATGCAGCAGCAGCAGACATCCCAGCCCTTCTCCCAGACAGACGTTTTCGACCCCTTTGGAATCATACCATTCCCCCACGGGCCACGGCATCATGGCTTCCTTTTTGTTGCCCTGCCATTCTCCCACGACGCCATGGCTATTCCTGTTTCGCCCTGCCATACTAGGCTACCTTCCTGCCTGCCTCCCATTCCCTCCTCCTCCACTGCATCCCTCCCCTCCTCTGCCGTGCTAAGTGATCGCAGCAAAGGCAGCAGCAGTGGCAGCAGCTCTCCAGAGCATTCAAGTGACAGTCAGGATTTGCAAGGGGCACAAATCGGCAGCAGTAGCAGCAGAAGCAGCAGCAGCAGCCACAGCAGCAGCAGCAGCAGCAGCAGCAGCAGCAGCAGCAGCAGCAGCAGCAGCAGCAGCAGCAGCAGCAGCAGCAGCAGCAGCAGCAGCAGCAGCAGCAGTAGCAGTAGCACCAGCAGCCACAGCAGCGAGGGGAGGGTTTGAAGCAGCATACACCTGAGCAGCTAGGCCTTCCCCTGATGCCGCCTGTCCAGTGCGCCAGCAGATGCTGCACTGGTGTGGATGGCCTCCTGGAGCACATGGCTGAACACTTGCTTTTAGCAGCTCCCACTGCTGCTGCTGCTGCTAGTGGTGGTTGTGATGCTTGTGCAGTGCAGAGGGCATGGCAGCACCAGCTTCACCTGAAACAGCACTTTTCCTGCTCAATCACGCCTTGTCATGCCCATTCCTCGTTTGCTCTTATTTGCTCTTCTGTGCTCCTCTTTGCTCTTCTGTGCTCCTCTTTGCTCTTCTGTGCTCCTCTTTGCTCTTCTGTGCTCCTCTTCGCTCTTCTGTGCTCTTCTTAGCTGTTCTGTGCCCTTCTATTCTCGTCTTCACGAATCCACCCACCCTCGTGTGAATATGACACCAAGCGGTTCCTCGACTGCCTTTTTCGCAGGTTGGAACATCTCAACTCAAGCCCTGCCTTGCCTGGAGCGGGCCATGCCATCATAAAATGAAAAAGGGCATCTCCTGGCATTGTCGGAACTCGGCACAAACAATGTGACAGAAATGGTGGAGGAAGCTGTTCCAGAGTCTCTATACGTTGGCCATCACAACAGAAGCCTGAGACTTGTGGTGTGAACTACCTAGTTATTGCTTAGGACAAATTCCTACGGGTCGCATCAGACTAGTCCTCTCGTCACTCTCCCCTTGCCCAAAACCGCTGCTCTGACTTCTAGTTGCTATTCCCTTGCGTCTCGTGCAGATTTTGTCTCTCTGTCTGCTAGTATGTCTGCTAGCATGTCTTTCGCATCACATGTGCATGTCTGTCGCTTTGCTGTTTCACACATGCACAAAGGTATTGGACATGTGCATGTCTGTTGAATCACACATGTCCATAACGGTTGAATCGCACATGCATTGGGCTGTGCTTAGGCTGTCCACTTGCAACAGCCACGTTATGCCAGGTCAGCTGAGTCACATTCCGCGTTCACTACCCACCACTGCAGGTGTTCACCCATGCAGATCGCGCCCACGCCAGTTGCTGTCTGCGCATGCTCGGGCTGGAGCGCTGCTTCGACACCATGATTGCCGTTGAGGATGTCATTCATGCAGCGGCAGCCCTTCCTCTTCTCGTTTAGTGAGTGCGTCCACATCTGTTTCCTCCCACACCTCTGTGCTCCCCATCCCCCCCCTGCACCTTGTCCCATCACACACTACCTCTAGCTGCTTAACAATGCCATGTCCAAATGGTGTCACAGCCTGCATGCAGACCACCACTTCTGGCTGCTATAAGCAACAGGCACGAATTCTCAACCCGCATAACCTCCCTCCCTGCACCCGTGACCACCCCTGCAGATCCACGCAGATCCACTCATGCAGCTCATGCTCGGCCTGGAGGGCTGCCACACAATGCAGGTCTCTGTCTCAGCCTGCCGTCTGACCTCGCCTTCCAGCCTTCCTACCAGTCCCTCCACCTCCTCCTCCCTTCCCTTGTCGAAATCCCTTTTCTTCCTCTGCCATGCGAAGCCATCACAGCAGTAGCAGGTCTCCAGAGCACCCAGCTCTCAGCAGTAGCCTTGCGCGCTCACTTTCAGCAACTCTTGCTGCTGCTGCTGCTGCTGCTGCTGCTGCTTCTTCTGGTGCTCTCGGTGTTTGTGATGCTTGTGCAGTGCGAAGGGCAACAGTGCCGGCAGCAGGGGCAGCAGGGAGGGCAGCAGATGGGGAAGCAGCGTCAGCACCCCATACAGTTTAGGAGAATTCATTGGGCCGTTCAGATGACCATTCAGGGATATATGTCTCAGATTTGTGTGTGCGAGCGCACAGTCATCTTTTGTCGTATTGCATATCTTCATGACTCAATAACTTTTCTGTGTCCCTTTCCATGACCCTGCATGCATGCTCTGTCACAGATGATGTTTGATGACGGCACACGCAACATTGCAGCAGCCAAGAAATTCGGCATGCATACACTTGTGCTTGGCTGCACAATCTTCCCTATTGTTCAGTTCTGTATCCCCCTCGCAACATCATGTTTCCTGCTCCTTTGCCTGTCGTCATGATCCCATGGGCCTTGACCACTCCTCATCTGCTCTTCTTTGCAAATTTCCTGTGTTCAATACTGGTAGCCCATTCCCTCTTCCTTGTTGCCTGCGGATATGCTGCCTTTTCTGCAAATTGGAGCATCACAATCATCACCTGGAGCAGACCACCCCATACATACCAAACATTCACGAACTAAAACAGGGCATCCCGACAACGTGGGAGCTGTCCACAAACAGCGTGACAGAGATGGTGAAGGTCGGTCTTTTGGAGTCCCCATGCATTTGTCATCACAACAGAAACCTGGGCCTTGTGTTCGCTTGGAGTACCCAATATAGTTGCGCACCGTTTTGGGATTCGGCATGGTGTACATTTTCTATTGATTGAAGCATTCTCTTTGTCAGATGTATTTTATTCTCGTTTCTGCTGGGTTTACCGTATCTCGGATGGGATGGGATGGGATGGGAGTGACTCTGCAGCACACTTATGAATCACATCTGAAATATGTAGAGTGAGATTTGACGAAGAGAGCAATAACGGATGGATGGCATAACAATGCCTTCATATGAGTTCTTTTAGAAAAGCTGATCATTCAACAATGAGAATGGAACGAAATATCAACAGAGTAAAGATAGATGTAGTATTAGTAACGGCTCCATCTTACTGAGTATGCTACCTAGGTTTTGTGCACCACCAGCCTGATCCCATCTCGCCAATTTTCTCCCTCCACCAGCCAATCTCAGCTCCTAGACATCCCCATTCCTCCCACCAATATCTAGTTCGCAGTCAACCGCCCAGACTTTCCTCACTCACCGCCCACAAGCTCGCTGAAGGCCCGCCCTTACTTACTAAAGAGTGTAGAGTTACCACAGGATTATGTAGCATATTGTCGCAAAGCACTTGGCGCGGTCTCACGTGATCATCATTCGCGCCTTTCTTCAGCCGCCCTCGCTCACCTCGCTAGCTAACGAGTTCAGGACAGCCGCACAGCTTTCCAGCGTGCTCTGTCTACCGCACAGCCCGCCCATCTGTGACGTGGCGAAATGGGTTCATGTGCGAGATTACGTACCAGGTATGAACCCACCACGCATGCCACGTGACGGGTTCCGTTCACATGCATGCGCTGTTATCATCGGTGCCAATCCCAGCCGTTGATGAAGTCCCGAGAAGTACGGAACGTTTTCAGCCGTCCGATCTGTAACTCAGCCAGCTATTGTGACGTCACCCACATGAATGTTCTGGCGCATGTACAAGACGTGGACAGATCGCAGCCGTCGATGCCCTACTGGAAGGTACGCGAAGCAGATTAACGGTCCGATTCTCGTCAGCCGAGTGCGCGCTGGCAGCAATAATGACCATTCGTGGGGTCCCGAAAGTTGAGCGACCCACTGCCCCCCTCGCGTTTCCCTGACAGCGTGACGAACGAACGGTGGGGAAGGGACGTTTGCGAACGTCCCTTCCTTCGCTAACGAGTGTTCCCCTCGCTGGCTGTCAGTAGAAATGGCACTCTGACTGCCATTTCTCTTCAGTCACAGCTTTTGAGTTCAGCATCTTCTTAATCACACCCTCTTGCAAGCACACCCCCCTCGACCTTGCTCCTTGTGCCCGAGTCCCTCCCAACTGCTCTCACCCTGATGGCCTCGGTCAATCCCGAGACCGCTCTCGCGGCTGCTCTGGCTGCTGCCACGTTTCTTGGCACTGCAGCGAAATACCTCTGGCAAGTACCCTTCTGGTTCGACTGCTCTGCAGTGAACCAGACTCCCTTTGAATGGCTGTGCGATTGGACTGCTGCTGATGAGGCCGAGCTGAGAGCAGCTCCGGCCAAGACGCGACGTGGCACGCTGAGTCTCAGCGAGGAGCTGCTGCTCCTGGCTGGGATTACAGTGAGCACGTCAGAGTTTATAACGGAATGGACTGCTGCGGATGAAGCCGAGCTGAGAGCAGCACCGGCCAAGACGCGCCGTGCTACGCTTAGCGCCAGCGAGGAGCTGCTGCTCCTTGCTGGAATCACAGTAAGCACTGATGACTTTATTACCGAGTGGACGGCTCAGGATGAGTCTGAGCTGAGAGCACCCGTTAAGAGCCGTGCTTCACTAACTGCAAGCGACGAGCTGCTTCTCCTTGCTGGGAGCACAGTCAGCTCGGGTGAATTTATTACTACGGAATGGACAGACGCAGACGAAGAATACCTAAGAGATAACAGGGTAAGGAGTCCTGGAGTGCAAAGCGAGGGTGAAGGGGAGTCGCTGATGGCGACATACAGGCCCCTGACCTCTGCTGATGTGGCTGTGATTGTCGGTCGTTTGGTTGAAGTGGGCAAGAAGCGCCGGGAACGAGGCCACGGAGCTCGTCTGGGCTTCTCTCCCTTGAGACCCGCTGTTTTCACGGCCGCTGCTGCTGCTGCTGTGGGTGCAGTTGCTGCTGCTGCAAGTGCTGCTGCTGACACTATCTGTGCTGCTGCTACAGCTGCTGCTGACGCAGTTGGCGCTGCTGTAGCTGCTGCTATGCCTGCTGCAGCTGCTGCTGACGCCGTTGCTGCTGCTTTGCCTGCTGCTGTATGCAAGCCATCAGCACAACGTGCAGCGACACCAACCATGAAGCCAGCTGCGAAACCAGTGGTGAAGCCAGCTGCTAAACCGGCGGTGAAGCCAGCTGCAAAACCAGCGGAGAAGCCAGCTGCGAAACCAGCGGTGAAGCCAGCTGCTAAACCAGCGGTGAAGCCAGATGCCAAACCGGCGGTGAAGCCAGCTGCCAAACCAGGGGTGAAGCCAGCTGCTAAACCAGCGGTGAAGCCAGCTGCTAAACCAGCGGTGAAGCCAGCTGCTAAACCAGCGGTGAAGCCAGCTGCTAAACCAGCGGTGAAGCCAGCTGCTAAACCAGCGGTGAAGCCAACTGCTAAACCAGCGGTGAAGCCAGCTGCTAAGCCAGCAGTTAAGCCCGCTGGGAAGTCAGCAGAGCAGCCAGCAGCAAGACCAGCAGCCTGTGCAGCAGCAAGGAAGGTTACGCCGTGCAAGGTTGGGAAGGTTCCAGCTTCACCTTCGAAAGGGGAGGTGAAGAAGGGGGTGGAAGGAACAACAGGGAGGAGCAGTGTGCAGCGAGGCCAGGCTGTGAAAGCAGCCTCACAGAAACAAGCGTGCGAGAAACCTAGGTGGAAGTGATTGCGATGTCTAGTTATGTAGTGCAGCAATACATGTATATTTTGTAATTATTGCTAGTAAAACACATTCTGATTCTGTCAGTCTGTCTTTGTGTGTCTTATGTGTCATTGCTACGTGTGTGTCTCAGTGGTGTGAGAATGCCTTCATGCGGGCATTTCTGTTGCATATCTGTTCCATCACAAATAGAGCTTGGATCACGCATGTGCATATGCATGTCTGTTGTGGGTGGCACACATGTGCATTTCTGTCAAAACCCACGTGTGCATGTCTGATGAATCACACATGTGCATGTCTGTTGGATCACACATCTGCATGTCAGTCAAATCACACATGTGCATGTCTCGTACTGCATGTCTGTTAGGCTGGATAACACATGCGCATATGCATTTCTGTTGTGGGTGGCACACATTTGCATTTCTGTCAAATCCCACCCACATGTGCATGTCTGATGAATCACACAAGTGCATGTCTGTTGTATCACACGTGTGCCAGTCGATTTCTGTTAGACCACACATGTGCATGTCTGTTAGATCACACATGTGCATGTCTGTGGAATCTCTTTGTCATGTCACGACATGTGCATGTCTGTTGAATCACACATGCCCATAACGGTTAAATGGCACGTGCTTTTTGTCTTTGTCGAATTATCAGTGGATCACGTGTGCATATCCACTGTATCACCCATGCATCTGCCTGTCTTCACTGCATGCTTCTGCTGTTCCACCCATGCACATGTCCGTTGACTATCGCTTCGAGAAACCTAGGTGGATGTGATGGTAGGTCTCTAGCTAAATATTGTAGCATCTGGTTTGTATATATTTGTCAATTTTTGCTAGCATATCAAATCTTTTGATTGGCTTGGATCTTCAGACGTTTGAGTCTTGGTGCTGAGGGATGCCTTCATGTGTGTTGTGCTGTAATTGCCTTATTCATGATTTATTCTTGTAATTGCCTTCATATGTCAGTTCACTCACATATCCTTGAGTGTGCATCCATAGGCTTTCCGTATCTCTTCACCTGCTGTGCACACATATTGCACATCTGTTGCATCACACGCGTGTGTTACCTGGAACCACACGTATGCATGTCTGTGGCATCCCCAATGGGCTTATCGGCTGCATCACCAATGTGTTTTGCTGTTGTGTCACATATGTGCGTGTCTGTTGAGTCACATGCCGCACATCTATTGGATCACCAATGCACATATCTGTTGGAGCACACATGTGCATGTTTGTTGGATCGCACATTTGCATGTCTCTGTTGGAGAATGGATGTGCAAATCCATTGGATCTCACATGTACATATCCGCTGTATCACCTATGCATCTGTCTGTTGATTCCTGTGTTTTTATGTTGACTGTTGGTTCACCGCTGCACTGCACATGCCCGTTGACTCACGCTTCTCGATGTATGCTGGTCCCCAAACCGAATTGCATTTGGGAAGTGTCCGGCTCTGGAGTGACGGCATGTGACGTAAGTGCACCAGCTAAAATTTGGTGCGATGGTGCTTATTTTATCAAGGCTGCTTGGATTTCATAAAGCAATTCTGCTTACACATTGATAGGTATTCGTGATGCAGCAGGGAAGGAAGGATCGGAGGCTCTCAGCATAGCGTGGAGCCGGTAACATGTTGAGGGGGACGGTCTTGCGGCAGAGCATGGATGGACGCCACTGTGTATCACATTCCGCATGCTACTGTTTACCCGCTGAGACATGTCTTCGAACTGTGCTCTTCCATTTTCAGGGCCAGAAGAAAGTAAGGAGTTATGCATATACCGGTGCTTATGGCGGTGCCTGGGCACAGTTTCCCTCCCAGGGCATGGAACAGTCCACTTCATTTGTCTCCATTAAACCCTGCATACTGTGATCAGCAATCAATAGTTGCCTAAACCATTAGAACTCCAAGCTCAGAGCATTAGAATTTGGAATACTCGTCCTCCTGCTCATCCCCAACATCACCCAAGTAGGCCCAGCGAACCCACCATTCAGAGCAGGGTCTAAGCTCAGAGTTCGTGATCGTCATCGCGCTTGTAGAAGTCATCATCAGCATCTAAGTCCTCATCCTCGTCGTCATCCCCCTCCTCCCCCTGCGGGTCCGTGTCGTCAATGTCATCCTCGTTGAAGTCCTCGTCCTCCGGCTCCTCCTCCGGCACATCCACTATCTCCACCAGCTCCGTCTCAAAGATGAGCGTCGCTCCACCTGACAGCGGGAATGGCGGGGGGGGGAAGAGAGGGAAGAGGGGGGAGAGGGAGGAGGGGAATCATTACTTGTTCTCGCCCATCTCCTTCGGCACGTCGACCATCTCCACCACCAGCTCCATCTCAAAGATCAGGGTTGCTCCACCTGACACCATGGCAGAGAGAGGGGAGGGGGGGGAAGGGGGTGGGGGGAAGATTGGGAAAATTGAGAAAGCGATTCACACCCATGTCCTCCTCCGGCACATCCACTACGCCACCAGCTCCATCTGAAAAGAAAGCGCTGCTCCTCCTGATGCCGGGGCAGGGGCGGCGGTGGGCGGGGGGTTGTGGGGGTTGGGGAATTAGACGAACCGTTTCTCACCCATGCCCACTCCTCCGACACATTTACTGACTGCACCGGCTCCCACAAAGAAAGTCGCTGCACCTGGTGACTGGACAGGGAAGGTGGGGAAGTTGAGAGGAAGATAAAAGGTTAGAGAATCAAGTGAAACGAGTAATCTACAACTCGCTGCTGCTCAGCCATTGCGCACAACCTTCTAATGTGCAGATTTGGGGAAGAGGGGTTTCAAGCGCCCAGTGAATTCATCAGATAATCGCCGTATACCCAGGACGGACAACATGAAATATTAAAACCCTGTGCAGATACGCCAAGCCATGCCTTTACTAGACCGCGAGCAGGAGTTGGACTCACCAGGAATCTTGGGCGGGGAGCCGTTCTCGCCATAGCCCATGTGGGGTGGGATTTTCAGCTTGCGCTTCTCGCCCACGCACATGCCGAGGATGCCAATGTCCCACCCTGCCATGCCACATGCAAAAGAGAAAGGCGTTCATGTTGCAATGGCTGCAGATGGACTGGGAACACAAACGGACGGCAAGAAACGGTGCAGTGCAAACAGGTTTAGCGGCAGAAAAAACTCCTCCGGCGGCTATTTGCCAGGTCAAGCTCGACATCCCTTACCCCTCCTGAAGTTGCCAACTCAACGACACTGTATGAGAGGCATCTCACCTTTGATGACGTTGCCCATGCCAAGGCGGAACTCGAACGGGTCGTTGCGATCGTAGCTGGAGTCGAATTTCGTGCCATCAGTGAGAGTGCCCTGCGCGCGCCATGTCAGCAACAATCAACGGCGAGTAAGAGTCCGGCGGCCATTGCAAATAAATCGGACGGATATTGTGGATGCACTATGGAGAGTGAACGCGGCGAGTTTTACTCATCAAAGCGGACGACCATGGCGCGGACGGGAATTGACACAGAAATTCGTCCTGCTGAACGGCAGTTTACTGCGAGCCGAGCCGCAAGCAGTACATGTCCTCACGACAGCCGCGCTAGTTCCGCGTCGGACGCACCTATCCGCGTCACAAGCTACCAAGACACGACATTGCGAGTCCAGTTGTCGTCGACGCGTACTTTGCCATCCCCGATGGATCTACTCTTCTACGACACCATCCGCAATTGTTGATCTGTTTTCGCGGCTGAGGATGCTCATTAGAAATCGTCCACCTCTCTGCATTTTCGCCATGAACAACTCAGTTGTTACTCCCTGCTCTGTCTACACTACTCCCGAACGGCAGTAAGTACGAACCCGAGGGAACCGTGGAAATCGCACGTGAAATCCACGATGCACAACCCGGACTGCACACGATTCAATAATGACTAACCTTATCGGGTTCGGGAATCCTTTGCCGGGTTCGAAGTACGCTAAGCTACACTGAATCAATGCTAATTCGTGGTATGAGGCGGTGACTATGATGAATCTCCTCGAGGAAGTGGATTTCACAACGCAACAAGGACTAACCTTGTAATGAACCTTGACTGTATCGAGGTTCTTAGCCTTGCGCGGACAGTCCTTGGGCTTGAACTGCCGGCCATCATCCACCACAGAACACAACGGATCAAGCGTCAGATCAGGTAAAATAGATCCAAGGATGCGCGTGCAACGGAAAATGGCAAACCATACTATGGTGAAGATTGCACGTGATGGAGAACGTGCCAGAAAATGCTCCAAATCATGCGCGAGATTTTATAGAATTCTAAAAAACGAGTCGAAAAAGAGGCATCTTTTCACCTTCACTCCGATCTGAAGCTGGGTGACGTCCTTCTCGGTCTTCGCAGCCACTGCACAAAGCAACGCGTGCGACGACGGTAAGCCGAAAACGGAACAGGAAAAAGAAACAAATAAGAAGACACCGTAACACATGAACGCAAAGCTCACCACAGAGCGCGTAAAAAAGGACCAGGACGACGCCAGATAGAAGGCGAGATGCCATGGTTTCTAGCAGCTGGTGGTGATTACTATTTCTGAAAGATTCGCTTCTAGAGGTAGACTGAAGAAAAATATACCAGCTGGATTTCCGTTCCGTGCTGTTGCTCCTGGTGCTTTCCGTTGAAATTTGGATTTCACTCAGGCCGACACAGACAGATGGATCTGTCGCCAACTGTAAAGTTTCGCGAAGCCACGGAGGGGTTACGAACAATCTCGGCCGCACATTTGCGCGGGCTTTCGAACTGACGAATCTCTTCCTGTCAGAAGGTCGGTGGTGATTGGATCGTCGTCAGCATGGTCATCTCAAATTCGTTCGCCAAATGAGTGGTTACAAGCATTTCGTCAATTCCGTGTTCTGCTGCGCCGTCGACGGCGACGTCGCTGAACGTCGCTGAAGGGCCTTCTGCTGACATCCATCCAACCCAACCCCCCATGTCCCATTCTGCTGGGCGAATCGACTCCACCAACCACGCGTCTGGAATACTCCCCAGGTAGCAAGCTGGCCATGCACACAGGCACTAGGTTCAAGGCACAGCTTGTCAGCAGCAACACTAGCAGTTGTTTGAGCTCTATCAGCGTCGTTTGGAGCGCGCGTTTCGCGTCAGTTCATTTTCTCCTAGTTTCTTTTTACGAAACGGTTCCCACCGCAAATCAGCATCCACTTTGTTGAGGAGATTCGTAATAAATTCGCATCGAATCAGTGGAGCCTAGGGGTTTCGTGAATCTCTCTTCATAAACAGTAATTTCTGCGGGTTCTCGTCGGTCCAGCACGGCGAGCGGCGGTGGGTCCATGGGAGACGAGCACCACCATGATGCGTCCTCGCTCACCGCGCGTGGCGGTGAAGGCGGAGTTGCGAAGGAGAGCTTCGCGCTCACGGTGAAGAAGTAAGAGCCTCCTGCTTGCTTGAATCCTCAGTGTCTGCTGGACTAGTGAAGTTGAACGAGATTTGACCGAGGGCGAGTGTTCCAAGAATTATGTGAAATCCAGGAACTGGTCAAGTGAATCGTACAATCGCCGTCGTTACTGCTGTGGCTCTTTACCTGGTGTTGCATCTGCGGCTCTTTACCTGGTGTTGCATCTGCGGCTCTTTCTTTCTCTGGGCTTGCAGCAATTTCGAGAGTCTCCATCAGCGAGGGTTTGCCCCCAACGACGCTGCAGCCCTTGCCCTGAAGATCGCCATGGGGAAAGGTTGGTGTATCGTTTTGTTGTTGCTGTTGTGTGCGTGTGCGTATGTGTGTCTATATGTATATGTATGGTGCGGTGAGCGCTTGCTCTGCATGGTGGGGTGAGCGAGGAACGAACACGCGAACAGTGTTGCCATCCCAACGAGTGTTTCATGTGCTTCCCTCGTGCTTCCCTCGTGCTTCCCTTGTGCTTCCCTCGTGACTCACATGGAATATCCCCCCCCCCTTGCTTGCTTCCGATTCCGTTGTCTGAAACGCAAACGAAGCGTTTCTATGCCATGTCTATTCATTCACACTAAACTGAATCGTCTTTTATTTGCTGTCATGATTCTGCTACCATAACCACTCATCCTTGTGATTTCTCCATCCCATGCTCGCACATTCTCCATCCCATGCTCGCATATTCACTCGCTGCAGCGGAGCTCCTGGCAGCAATTTCTAAGGCACGTGCCAGCAGGGCAGCCAAGGCCAGCAGGGCGGCCCAGGACAGCAGCCACGTGGCAGAGCTTATCCCCAAGGTGCTGTCGTCAGCAGATGCCGTCAGCCTGGTGTTCCTGGCCATGCCCGAGGGGCTCTCCAAGGGCAACCTGCTGGGTGAGTTTTGAGCCAACTTTGGAGCCACTTTCTTCGCCAGAGAGGGGCAGCAGTCATGGTCTCACGGTAGGAGTCACTTTAAGAGTCACGGTGTTCCTGGCCTTGCCCGAGGGGCTCTCTAAAGCCAACCTTCTGGGTGAGTCGCGAGCCAACTTTGCAGCCATTTTGTTCGCCAGAGAGAGGCAGTAGTCAGGATTGGGGTTTCGTCATGAATCACGGTGCTGCTGACCATGCCTTAGGGGCTTTCTAAGGGCAACCTGCTAGGGCGAGTGAGGGAAGTGCAATGGGAGTGTGGGATATGGTGGGGTTTCGGGTATGCAGTTGTGGGGGGTGTGGGGGGGGGGGAAAGGTGATTAAGGGTGGGTGGGGAGGAAGCTCGGGGGTTATTCCTCCGGTTGTCATCCTTTTCCTGATTGGTCCGTTGGTTGTTTTTCTTTCCGTCTCACCAGGAATTGACTCTGCAACTGTGAAGCTGTTCTACGACGGAGTGGCAAATCTGGTGAGTGCTACTAACAGCTGGTAAGTATTACAGCTGGTGTGCGCATTACAGCTGGTGAGTGTCAGCATCACACAGTCCACGGGGACACATGGTGCTCACCATCACATCCCCTTGCATCAAGGCCTCAACGACTGTCTGCAATCCGCTCCCCCTTGGCTATCCTCTTCGTTGTCTGTCTCTTTCTAACGTGGCCCTCTCTCTTCCCCGCCAAAGCCTCTCTCCTCCACACCACACTCACTCTCTCCATTCTCCGCCCTTGTTCCACCCCTCGCCCCACCCCGCAGGGCGACGAGGTGGCAGCAGCAGTGTTGCGAGCATGCGACTGCTGTCAGAGCTCTCCCTGTACCCACCGCCTCCTCCCTTTACTATCAGTCGCTACCCAACCTTCCCCCTCTCTCTCCCACCATCCCACAGGGCGACGAGGTGGGAGCAGCAGTGGTGCGAGCAAGCGACCGGCTGCTCTCAGAGCTCTCCCAGGCCATGCCCTCCGTCCCCTCCTCCACTCTCGCCCACCACCTTCCCACTCCGCCCCGGCCCTCCCCCCCCCCTGCCCTCGTCACCCTCCCTGCTCCTGCCACCGCCGCTGCAACCTCCACGGCTGCTGCTGGTGCCGTAGAGAGGGGCGGTGGTGCTGCCAGTGCTGGCGGAAGGGATGATGCGACTGCCACTGCCCCAGGAACCGGCACCAGCACTGGTCCAACACCAGCAGCCACAGATTCAACAGGCCCGGATACAGCTGCGCCTGCTACAGCTGCTACCCCAGCAACAGGGGCAAGAGACACTGCATCCACTGCCATGGACGTTGACTCCCCACCCGCTCATGCCCCGTCGTCACTTGCTGCGCCGCCAACTGGAACCCCGGCCACTGAAACTCCGGCCGCCGCGTCAAGTGCAATGGACATCGCTACAGCTGCTACAGCTGCTGTGACAGCTGGGTCGGGGAGTGTGAAGCGGAAGGTGGACTCGCTGGCTGCGGCTGCAACAGGCAGGGGGCACCACGACGACACAGAGCCGTCGCCAGCTGTCATGCGCTCGCTACTATTCCTCCTCGACGTAAGGCCGGCCCAGCTCAATGCCCCTGGGTCTGGACGGCTTTGCTGCTCGATGGTGGTCTTATCATCCAAGCTTTAGGGTTTAGTGTGCAGACCATCGCTCGTACCACCTGTGCATTTCCTTGTGCTTCAATGTATCCCCTCTCATCGCTCTAGAGCGTCTCTCCCCTAAACCCTCATCCGTTCCTTTTTGTGCTCCCCTGTCGCTCCAGCCAGAGCCCCTTTCGAATGGAGCCAGCCAGCCAGAGCACCACCGCTCTTCCGTGCCCTCTTCCCTACCCGACCCTTTCCTCTCTGCTCTCGTAATGCCCCAGAGCCCCTTCCCTCATGCAGCCGGAGCACCTCCCTCTCTACCGCCTTTGCTTGCCCTCTTGCCTCAATCTCCCATCCTTTCTCCTTCCTTTCTCCCGGTCTTTCTCCTTCCTTGTGCTCGTGTCTCGCCCCAGAGCCCCTTCCTCATGGACCCAGAGCACCACCCCTTGTACCGCCGCCTCTGCAAGCTGCTGCTGGACCTGCCACCGCTGGCTCGCCAGCAGCTCGTCTCCACCCTCGCCAGGTATGTACCCCTAGCGCATGGCTACATACAGTGTCACATTGTCACATTGTTACATTGTCACTACTGTGTCACCCTCTCAGTCTCGAGCCAGGCATGCGTCTCTGCCCTCGACTCGTCACTGCGCAAGCTGCTGCTGGACCTGCCACCGCTGGCACGGCAGCAGCTGGTCTCCACCCTCGCCAGGTGTGTACTCCTACCGTCGTGTTGCCGTGTTACTTGCTCCCCCCCTCTGGCTGGCTATTAGTGCGAGCACTCGCAGCACGTAACAAGGCAGCACCAGATGCGATCACCATTCCCGGCTATCCTTGCGCCCTCGCCCTTCCGTCCTGTGCCTCCCATCCCTGCCGTGCCTCCCATCCCTGCCGTGCCTCCCATCCCTGCCGTGCCTCCCATCCCTGCCGTGCCTCCCATCCCTGCCGTGCCTCCCTGTGGGCAGCTACGAGCGCCAGCACCTGCAGCAGCTGTTGGTGCGAGGCATCACCATTCCCCACTGTTCTTGCTCCCTCTCTCCCTCCCTCCCCTTTCCCCCCCCTTCCCTCCCTTCCCTCCCTTCCCTCCCTTCCCTCCCTTCCCTCCCGTCCCTCCGTCCCTCCGTCCCTGGCCTTGCACCAGCTATGAGCGCGAGCATCTGCAGCAGCTGGTGGAGACGGCGCAGCACGTGATCACCATTCAGCTCTACGAGTCCCAACGATTGGTCGAGACAGTGCGGCTCGCCACACGCGTGCTCGGGATATTCTGTGAGTGCGTGGGATACACTGAGGGTTTTGGGTTTAGAGGTTATGGGGATGGGGATGGTGAGAGGCGAGGCGATGGTTTAGGGCTTAGAATTGGGGTTTGGATTTGGGGACTGTCACACAGGCTCCCTTATCCACTCTGCCTGACTCTGCTCACTGCTCGCTCCAATCTTTGACCTTCTGCTCTCCTCTCCTCCCATACCTTCCATATCTCACAAACTCACATATCATCCACATCTCACAACTTATCCATATCTCACAAATTTTTCATATTTCACAAACTATCCATATCTCACATATCATCCATATCTCACGTATCATTCCATCTCTCTCATATTATTCCATATCTCACATATTATCTATATCTCACATATCATCCATATCTTCCATGGCTGGTTGTGCGCCTTCTCTTCCTTCTTGGCCTTGTGCTCTTGTTGTCCCCTGCTCTGTTCTGCTCTGTTCATCCCGTGCAGTCGCGGCGAACCAGAGGGGCCACCAGCTGCCGCACTCAGCGTTCTACAACGACGCCATCAACAGCGACGAGTTCGTCGACCTTGAGCAGGACTACACCAAGTGGAAGCACCGGGACAGGTGGGAGTTGAGGTGCCGCATGTACTGCGGAATTTTGTACAGGTAAACAAGCAAGGCCTTCCAACAGTGGTTAGTTCGTGGACTTGGAGCAGGACTACACCAAGTGGAAGCACCAAGAGAGGTGGGAGTCGAGATGCGATTGAACGTCATGGGGATATCTGGGGCAAACTGTTGACCAGGGATCAAGTGAAAGAGCAAGGCCATCACCAGTGACCAGCTCATTGGCTTGGAGAAAGAACAGAGCACTTGGAAGCAGAGGGAGAGGAACAAACGAACTACTGAATGCGGCGCACAGATAGACGATGCGTGAGGAGCAGTGGCGAGTTCAGCTGGCGACAGCACAGCACAGAGTCAGGTGAGAGTCAGGAAGCACTCAAAGGCCAAGGGAATCAACTTCAGTCCTCGTGGCCCTGTCAGTTCTCCCAGAACGACTTTGCCCTCTCCGTCTCTCCCTTCAAACTGTGCTCGGGCCGTGACCGTATTGTCAGGTGTGCGTCCCTTGTCCTCCCATCTCCCTTCCCCTCCCATCTTCCTTGTCCTCCCATCTCCCTTCCCCTCCCATCTTCCTTGTCCTCCCATGCTCCTCCCTCCCATCCCGACCCCCCCAGGTACCTTGGCCCCTTTCACTCTCTGCGAGCACCCATACATCCTGGAAGCGGCCAGAGAGGCACAGGTGCTGCAGCTGGAGTCGCGCAGAGAGATGCTCACTTTGTCTCCCTCCGTCCTCCCCTCCCTCCGTCCTCCCCTCCCTCCGTCCTCCCCTCCCTCCGTCCTCTCCTCCCTCCGTCCTCCCCTCCCTCCGTCCTCCCCTCCCTCCGTCCTCCCCTCCCTCCGTCCTCTCCTCCCTCCGTCCTCCCCTCCCTCCGTCCTCTCCTCCCTCCGTCCTCCCCTCCCTCCGTCCTCCCCTCCCTCCGTCCCCTCCTTGCCACCCAGGTACCTTGACCCGTTCACCTTCTGCGAGCACCAATACATTCTGGAAGCGGCCAGGCCAGCAAGGCGCCGGTGCTGCAGCTAGGATCCAGAATAGAGGTTTCACACTCTTTCGCTTCCTTCCCTTCCCCCACATTCCCGCAGGTATCTTGACCTCACCTTGTGCGAGCACCCGTACATCCTGGAGGCGGCCGGCAAGGCACAGGTGCTGCAGGTGGAGTCAAGGATAGAGATGTTCCCTTGCCTCCCCCCCCTGCTTGTGGGTTTCAGGTACCTTGACCCCTTCACCTTGTGTGAGCACCCCTACATATTGGAAGCGGCCAGCAAGGCGGCGGTGCTGCAGGTGGAGTCGCGGATCGAGATGTCCCACCGCTTCCACGACGCGCTGCTGGGCATGGCGCTGCGGGGCCTCACGGGCGCGCACATGTCCAACCCCTTCTGCGTGCTCATCGTGCGACGCGACCACATCGTGGAGGATGCCATTCTGCAGGTAACTACTTCCTGTGCAGAAAAATAAACACACACACACACACACACACACACACACACACACACACACACACACACACACACACACACACACACACACACACACACACACACACACACACTCGCGCACGCAGGCACATGCACGCATGCGCGCACACATGCACGCACGCACACACACGCGCATGCAGGCACACGCACATGCACGCAGCAAGCACGCGGGCCCAAAAAATGCAAAGATTTTATACGAACTGGAAGCTTGTTGTTCTCCCTCCTCTTCCTTTCCGCCTTCCTTCCTCGCCATCCCTCTCAGTTTACATTTGCTTCGCGTCTCTGAGTTCACATTTGATTCGCGTCTCTGAGTTCACATTTGCTTCTCGTCTCTCAATTCACATTTGCTTCGTGTCTCTGAGCTCACATTTGCTTCGCGTCTCTCAGCTCACATTTGCTTCGCGTCTCTCAGTTCACATGTGCTTCGCGTCTCTCAGTTCACATTTGCTTCGCGTCTCTCAGTTCACATTTGCTTCGCGTCTCTCAGTTCACATTTGCTTCGCGTCTCTCAGTTCACATTCGCTTCACGTCTCTCAGCTCACATTTGCTTCCCTTGTCGCCCTCCTCTACCCCCCTTCTGTGCCTGTCCGTCGCTCTCCACTTGCTCCTCCCTCCTCTCTGTGCCGTGGCATCAGGTGCAACAGCATGCAGGAGACTTGAAGAAGCCACTCAAGGTGAGAAGCAGTCAAGGAGAGAGTGACCTCCGTTCTATCTCGTTTCATGTGCCCCCACTCCCATGCACCCATTCCCATACTCGCACCCATTCCCCCACTCCCATTCCCATGCACCCATTCCCCCACTCCCATTCCCCCACTCCCATTCCCCCACTCCCATTCCCATGCACCCATTCCCATGCTCCCATTCCCATGCTCCCATTCCCATGCCCTCTCGCCGATGCCCTCATGCCCATGCCTTCTCGCATGGGTGTGCAGGTCAAGTTCGTGGGCGAGGAGGGGGTGGACGAGGGGGGCGTGCAGAAGGAGTTCTTCCAGCTGATCATCCGAGACATCCTCGATGCCAAGGTGCGTTCAGAGATCGATGGCATGGACTAGACATGGGCATGAGCCGAGCCTCGGCTTGTGCCCATGTCTAGCATGGACCCATGCCGTTTAGCAGGGGAACAAAGGGCATGTCTAGCATGGACCCATGCCGTTTTTATGTGGCAGGGGAACAAAGGGCCTCGGCCAAAGGTCAAGTGAAAATGTCAAAGGGCCGCTGGAATGCCAAGCCAAGGTGAGTTTGGTTTCGGGGCGGGGTGGGGGAGTTTTCAACGTCGAGTCGTTGGTCGTGGCAGGTTAGTATGCCCACGCATGTCGATATGCTGCATCTGGTTCGTACCACAAACCCCTGCTCCCTTCCCTCCCTCCCACGAGATTATTCACTTTTTCCCGGGCAGTTTGGCACATTTACGCACAACATGGCTACTCATGAGGCCTAACCGTCTCTGTCAACAGCTAGCCCCCCCCGTTACCTTCTCTTCCCCTCTTCCCCTCTTCCCCTCTTCCCCTCCTCCCCTCCTCCCCTCTTCCCCTCTTTCCCTCTTCCCCTCCTCCCCTCCTCCCCTCCTCCCCTCTTCCCCTCCTCCCCTCCTCCCCTCTTCCCCTCTTCCCCTCTTCCCCTCCTCCCCTCCTCCCCTCTTCCCCTCTTCCCCTCCTCCCCTCTTCCCCTCTTCCCCTCTTCCCCTCTTCCCCTCCTCCCCTCCTCCCCTCTTCCCCTCCTCCCCTCTTCCCCTCTTCCCCTCCTCCCCTCTTCCCCTCTTCCCCTCTTTCCCTCTTCCCCTCCTCCCCTCTTCCCCTCTTCCCCTCCTCCCCTCCTCCCCTCTTCCCCTCTTTCCCTCTTCCCCTCGTCCCCTCCGCTCCCAAACCTTCACATACAACGAGGCGACCGGCGCCTTCTGGTTCAGCGCCTCCCCAATCGACCTGCCGCTGGAGCTTGAGCTCATCGGCTATTTTTGAGGCGCCTCCAAAATAAACTCCTCAAAAATAGACTCCTCACGCTGGAGTTTGAGCTCATCGGCTCCGTGCTGCTGGGCCTTGCCATCTACAACGCCCCGACTCACACACCTCCTGCCTCTCACGCGTGCTTCCACCCTTCCCCTCTCTCCTCACCTCTGCGCAATAACACACATACACCCTCACCCCCACCCGCCCAAACGCCCCCACCCCCCGCTGCCCGTCTCTTAACCCCATGAAATGGCAGTTTGGCATGTTCACATACAACGAGGTGACCCGCTCGTTCTGGTTCAGCGCGTCGCCCATCGACATGCCGCTGGAGTTTGAGCTGATCGGCACTGTGCTGGGGCTCGCCATCTACAACGCCCACATCCTCGATATGAGGTTCCCCCTTGTCGTCTACAAGAAGCTCCTGGGGAAGAAGACCGGGCTGGAGGATCTCGCAGGGGTGAGTCCTTCCTTCATCAGCGTTGACTTTTCTTTTCAGCCCTCCTTCCATCATACCCAGGCAGTAGCCTTTGGTCTGTTCGAGCAAGGCTAGGACCTTGACTCGGCTCTCTGCCCTGCATTCCCAACTCCATCCGTCCATCCGTCTCCTGTGGAGCGTGGTTGGGGTGGCTGTTCTGAGCAGTTACTATGTGCGCCCGGGATAGTTTTGAGGCGATGAGGTGTTAAATTAAGCCACCCACCCAATGGATAGTTTTGAGGCTTTGAAGCATTAGGTTAAGCGTGCCTCAGATGGGCGTCTATCTTCCACCCACCCACCCACCCACCCACCCACCCACTCCGTCCAGAACCATCTCTGCCGGCTGGTGGATGTGGATCCCTACCTGCATGAGGCGCAGTGCGCATGTTTTGCGGCGGCTGACACCACCCACGAAAGAATCCCCCAGTCACTCGCCTCTGACCTCTGCCTGTCTGTCTGTCTGTCTGTCCGTCCGTCCGTCCGTCCGTCCGTCCGTCCGTCTGTCTGTCTGTCTGTCTGTCTGAACCATCTGCCCTGAACCATCTCTCCTGACCACCACACCGCCACTGCAGGTTCGGACCCAGGCGTGCATCAAGGCCTTGCAACATTCTCAATGATTGAGAGCAGTCTGGAGTTGGCCTTGGAGGACTCACCATTCACTTGGCTGTGACCTGTCCCGGAACCTCCTACCCTGATCCGCCACTGCAGGTGGACCCAGACCTGCATCGAGGCCTCAAGGGGCTCCTTGCCTTCCAGGGAAATGTAGAGGTGAGAGCAGTTGAGGTAAAATGAGAGGAGGTGAGGGGGGAGGGGAGGGGAGGGGAGGGCGGGAGAGGGCGGATGCACTATTCATGTGCGTCGTGGTCATGTCCAGGTTCGGCCATATGAATTTAATAGTCAAGGGCCACCTGCTGCAGTGCATTGCGCACTCAACGATGCATCCACAGCTCGTCAGGAAGGGGTAAGAAAAAAAGTATGCATGGAGAAAGAATCATAGCAGAGGGCAACACAGATTTTATTCTCTTTTCTCCCCCCCCCCCTCCCCCCCCCATCAGTGTTCCCATCTCCGGCGCTGCTCTGCTCCCCTCCCTACCAGAAGCCATACGATTGGAGCAGTTTATGAAGCGTATGTGTGGTGTGGTGTGTAGCGCACCCTGCGGCTGTGCTTCCCGAATGGCAATGTCTGCAACTCTAGACAGCGTAAACCTCTAAATCATCGGTCATTTGCTTCTTCCCACCTTTCCCCTGCGTCCCACTTCCTCCTCCCCCCCACAGCTGTCCCCACCAGGAGCCGGTGAGGCGTCGTGCGCAGAGGTGACTTTTGAGTCGACTCAAAAGAACTCTGAGGAGTTGTAAACAGATTCCTTCGGCTCGCCCGCTCACCACAGTGTCCCTGAAGGAAGGTGATGCTTGCACCCTCAACAGCATGCGCCCCCATTGCCCTCTCCCAACCCAACCCTCCTCCATCCTCCCTCCCTTTCCCCCCCACATTCTCCTCCCCCCCCGGCTCCAACACCAGGAGGTGTACTCGTGGAGCTTTGAGGCGTCGTACACAGATGTGTTCGGCTCACCCGCCACAGTGCCTTTGAAGGAAGGCGGCGAGAACCTTCCTGTGACAAACAGCAACCGGGAGGAGTTTGTCGACCTGCTGGTGGATGTGAGTTGGTGGATCTGAGTATTGACTTCTGAATCGACTCAAAAGTCACCTCGTGGATGTGAGTAAGAGTATTGGCATAAATCATGCGAGCACGCTGAGCAGGCCCCCCCAATCTCCTTTTTTTCCCGACCCCCTTTCTTATCCCCTCTGTCTTCTACTTTCTTGGATTCTCGACCTTTCTCCCTGTTCCCCCAATCTCCCACTTTCCCCCTTCTCTCTCCCTCCCGCTTTTCTCCCTCATAGTTGCCTACCTGAACAGTTAGTAGAGCACCCAACTCAGCGCCTGCTCTCACTGCCCCTGCCCCCTTTTAAGGCGCCTCAAAACTCTCTCCCTTCAACCTTTCGCCCTCATACTTGACTACCTGAACAGCTAGTAGAGCACCAAATTCGGCGCCTGTCGCACTGCCTCATGCACCTCGTATACCCCTTTTCTCCTGCCCCATTTCTCTTCCTCCCCTTGCCGTAAAGGCCCCCTCCTTACACCCCCTTCCCCGCGCCCCCATCCCCCCTGTGTCACGTCAGTTGTACCTAAACATGCTCTTGGAGTGCCACCTCCTTCACCCTTCTTCTTCCTGCCTGGAATGCACCCCCTCTCCCACCCCTGCTTTCCGCCCTTGTCTCGCCCCAGCTCCACCTGAACAAGCTCGTCAAGCTTTGAGTCGACTCTAATGTCTTCCCCCACCACCCCTCCCCTCCCCTCCCCCCCGCCTCCCCGTTCCCCCTGTCTCGCCCCAGTTCCATCTCAACAAGCTAGTGGAGCGCCAGTTTGGCCCGTTCTCTCACGGCTTCCTGCGGCTGTGCGGCGGCGCGGTGCTGCGCATGTTCCAAGCGGACGAGCTGGAGCTTATGGTCTGCGGCAGCCCCGTGTTTGACTTCGAGGAGCTGTGAGTGGCGTTTGCTACTAGTGCAAGGTGGTGGGAATGAAGATGCTTGCTTGCCATGCTTGCTTGCCATGCTTGCTTGCCATGCTTGCTTGCCATGCTTGCTTGCCATGCTTGCTTGCCATGCTTGCTTGCCATGCTTGCTTGCCATACTTGCTTGCCATGCTTGCTTGCCATGCTTGCTTGCCATGCTTGCGTCTGTGTGGCGTTCCTGTGTGCTGCACATTCTGTATTCTGTGCTGCGCGTGTTGCAAGAAAGCATGGCACGGCATGGGCGTCTATGGCAACCGTGTGCTTGGCTTCGTAGAGTTGCTGGTCTCTTGAATTCAAAGGTGTATATAGTTGCTGGTCTCTTGAATTCAAAGGTGAATAGAGTTGCTGGTCTCTTTAATTCAACGGTTTGTGGAGTACCGGTCTACTGAAGGAAAACGTGCTAATGCCATGGTGCTTCCACCATCCACGTCTGTCTCTCGTTGGGTGCAGGGAGAGGAATGCGCGGTACGAGGATGGATACTCCAAGGAATCTCCAGTCATCAAGAATTTCTGGAAGGTATTTCAGGGTCAACGAGTTTGTTACATGCATGCACGGAGTATGGCACACCGCCGTGGCACCCCACCCTGCTCCCGTCATCCCATCCTGTCACCAGCTGGTGCAAGCGTGAGTGCCTCGCACCTTCCGGCCTCTCCCTGTCGCGCTTGCCCTCGTCTCTCCTTATCACGTCTCTCACCCTCTCTACTCACCCTAACTTCTCACCCTCACCTCTCACCTCTCACCTCTCACCCTCACCTCTCAGCCTCACCCTCACCTTTCACCTCTCACCTCTCACCCTTCACTCTGCACCCTCCGCCCTCACGTGCCTCCCCGCATCCCCATCACCTTCCCCCCTTAGATCTCAGCTACGCAGGGCAGAGTGCCGCAGCCTACCAGGCTCAGCGTAGTCTGCCAGCATTCGCGAGGGGGTGCCTTTGGGACTGATTGTCTTGCTCGCTCTTCGCACTTCCCTATCCTCACTCGCACGCACCTCGGCACGCACGCCCTACAGGACAGGGAGAAGTGCAGTCTCCTGGCGTTTGTGACCGGGTGTGCCTGAGTGGCCAAAAGGCGCTCTCCTCGCTTTCACTGCCCCCCCTGCGACCTGATTCTCTAACTCTCATTCTCTCGTCCTTACAATGTCACGCGTAAAATGATACTATTTTTGAGGCGCCTAATAAATACTCTGGCCCTCATTCTCTCTCGCTACCAGGTGCTGTATGAGGTGACTTTTGAGTCGACTCAAAGGTGCTGTATGGTCTGCATGAAGTGTGACGATCCTTGGGATCTCGCGTGCGTCCGTACTGTGCTGCACGGCCTACACAAAGTTGAGAAGCGCAGCCTGCTGGCATTCGTGACAGGTTGCTTTTGAGTCAACTCAAAAGACACCTCGGTCTGTCGCTGGCCCTCTCCCGCCTCTCCCCAGGTGGTGCACGGCCTGCAGGGCGCGGAGAAGAGAAGCCTGGTGGCGTGTGTGATGGGGTGTGACTATGTAGCTCTGACACCCTCATTCCTCACCCACCCTCACTCTCCTCACTTCCCCCTGTGATTGCCTCTCGCCCTCCAACTAGGTGGTGCACGGCCTGCAGGACGCGGAGAAGAGAAGCCTGCTGGCGTTCGTGACGGGGTGCGACCGAGCGCCCATCAAGGGGCTTGCCTCGCTGCCCTTTGTCATCTCCAGAGCCGGTGCGTCAGTGGGCCTCCTGTGAAGCGCCCATCAAGGGGCTCGCGTCCCTGCGCTTTGTCATCTTCAGAGCCGGTCAGGGCGCTTCCAGTGACGCTGCTTGTGGTGCGAGTGCTTGTGACGAGTGTGTTTGTAATGCGTATGTGGTGTTGTTCTCACTTAAAATGAGAGTACTTGTTATGCCGAAAGCCTTACCTCTAAGCTTTTACTGCGTGCATTTTCGTGTGCGTTTGGAACAGTTTTAGTGGGCCCATTTTGCGGAGCATTTGCTTCGTCTGTCCCCTATAGTGGGTGGGTGCCCCTAGAGCGGCTATGGCTGCCCTTTTGTTGAGTGCAGTAGTGGGGGATTTTCTACTAGTGAGCATGTGAGTTGTGAGTATGTTAGTAGATAGTATGTTTTCTTTCATTTGCTAGGGCCTCTTTCGTTCGCCCCTCTACCTTCCCTCATCTCCTCCTCTGCCCTCATTTTCTCTGCTGGTATGCCATCATCCACCGCCATCATCCTGCAAGGCCCTGTGGTTGCAAGGCCCTGTTAGCAAGGCCCTCATTTGCCATCATCCACCTCCCCTCAACCCACCTCCCCGCAACCCACCTGCCCTCAACCCACCTGCCCTCGTCCACCTGCCATCAGGCCCTGACTCGGACCGACTACCCACTGCTCACACGTGCTTCAACCACCTGCTGCTGCCCGAATACTCCAACTTTGACAAGGTGCGCCCTTGAACTTGCTGCATAACCAGCAAGGGATTTCACTCGAGAACCACCTGCTGCTGCCCGAATACTCCAACCTTAGCCAGGGTGAGCCTGTGAGCTTGCTGAGTAACCAGCAAGGGAGTTCACTGGAGAACCACCTGCTGCTTCACGACTGAAGAGTTCCTTTTGGACCGTTGGTTCTGTCCATGCGTGCCCTGCTATTGACTGCCGGTTTCTCATTCGACTCTCACTGTGTGCCCTGCTCCCATCCATGCCTCATGCACCCATCCATTCGTCATGCACCCATCCACGCCTCATGCAACCATCCAGGCCTCATGCATCCAACTGCGCAAGTCATGCACCCATTCCCACTGCATGCACCCATCCACGCTTCATGCTCCCATCCGCCATCCATGCACCCCCCCCCCCCCCCCTGCAGCTGCACTCACGGCTTCTGACTGCCATCAACAACTCACAGGGGTTCGGTCTTATGTGAGGAAGGAGCCAGCGCCCATAGGCCCCCAGGCTCTGCACCTGTGGCCCTTCCCCGAGGATCTTCTCAAGGGTAACCCCAGCGGCTCACTCGACACACCCCCTCGCTGGGAAAGGTGGAAGACACGAGCGCCTCTGCAGTGCTTGCACTGGGAATTGAACCCGAGTCACCAACGCTCTGATACCATGTTAGAAACTCAGCCACTAACCACTGAGGTAAAAGATATTGTTAATAGCGGGTCAGTGCGCCCATAGCTCCCCAGGCTCTGAACCTGTGGCCCTTCCCCGAGGATCTTCTCAAGGATAACCCCAGCGGGTCACTCGACAGTCAAAACGTGAAGTGAGAGCAGCCTGCTGGTTGATAGCACCGTAAAGAAGCATGCGAGGAAGCAGAGATAGGAAGTGTCATATGAATACTTGGGCATGTACAGTCTTTTGATTCATCTTACCCTCGGAGCCTAAGATTTCGGATGAGATTGCATACCGCACTTCGACCATAACAATCTTCCATTCATGGAAATCATATGCGAAAAGTGCACACCTACTTTGACAACCCACTCGGGTAAAAATGCATGTGAACTAAAGACTATGGCACATTTAGAACAACGCATGGGAAACTGTAAGGAAATGGTGTTTCCTTATCACGGGTTTTAGATAGTAAGGCGTACATATCAAACCTAGAATTGAATGATGTGAGAGAGAGAGTACACAAACATATACCTAAATGTTGTACTCTCTAGAAGGTGACCCTATACAGTCTATACAAACATGATAACTACACATGTTTGACACACCCCCTGGACTGCATAGGGGAATGTTCTAGACAAGTAGCTCAGGGTGGCACTACTAGTCCAGCCTCTGAGACAAGGGTCTAAAAGACCAGTCAGAAGAAGTACAGACAAGGCAAGAACGAGTACAGGGCGGCACTACTAGTCCAACCACTGTGAGAGGACACAAGTCCAGTCTGAGTGTATACATATATATATATACGACAGTACAAAGTCAAGGCCCGAGTAAGTGAGAGACTACAGGAACCAGACCAAGCTGTAAACAGTGCCGCTGATGATCTTTAGGCGCAAGCGCCTTCGTAAAGATATCAGCTGTGTTGGCACCGGAGGCCAAGTGTACTACGCGAGCCTGGCGCCGCTGCTGTAGCTCGCGCAGGAGGAAGTACCGCAGCTGGATGTGCTTCGCTCTGCCCTCGAGTCGAGGCTCCTGACATAGGAGAATCATGGCCCTATTGTCAGCGTACAGGACCGGGGCAGAGCTAGGCCGCTCACCTAAGTCAGTGAGCAAGAAGGTCAGCCAGCGGAGCTCCTGTGCCGCCATGGCACCGGCGTAGATCTCAGCCTCACAGCTGGACTGGGCAACCAACGAGGAGCGGGTAGCTCTCCACGAGACAGCACCTGAGCCAAGGCTAAAGCAGTAGCCCTGGGAAGACCTGAGCGTCTCGGCGTCGTCTGCCCAAGAAGCGTCTGTGTGTCCAGTAAGGACCACTGGCCTGCGTCCGCCTAGCACTAACCCCATGCCCGATGTACTTGCAAGATAACGCAAAACCCTCTTAGCGGCAGACCAGTGCTGAGGTCGGTGTCTGCCTGTGGCCACAAAACGAGCCAGGATGCTGAGAGGGTATGCGAGATCTGGGCGAGTGCAAGTCATCAGGTACATGAGGCAACCCACTAGCTCAGCGTAAGGACCACTGGGATCTACCGACTCCTCAGGAACTGGAGCGGAGAGTCTGTGGTCCAGAGGAAGAGGGGTGGGCTGTGCGGAGGAGAACTGAAGGCCGAACCTCTGAAGGACCTGGCGCACCAAGTGTGACTGAGTCAGGGTGATGGTGCGGGCGGCTCTGTCCCTGGAGATCTGCAAGCCAAGGTAACGGCGCAGCTCTCCAAGGTCAGTGCAGGTGTGTCTCTTCAGCAGCTCTGCCTTCACGGAGGCCAGTGCGTCCCTGTCAGCTGTGGCAAAGACCAGGTCGTCTACGTAGACGAGGATGTAGAACGGAGTCGAGCCAGCACGAACGAAGAGCGAGGGGTCTGCAGAGGACGGAAAGAACTGCAGGTCAGCAAGAGTAGCACGCAGCGTGTCGTGCCACTCACGAGGCGCCTGGCGCAGGCCGTAGACTGGGCGCCGCAGAAGCCACTGGGTCCCAGGGGGGAAGGTGCCAGTAAAGCCCTGAGGACGACGCAGGTAGACCTGCTCGTGAAGGCTGCCCTGAAGAAAGGCAGTGGAGAAGTCGAGGGAGTGAAGCTCGTAGTCACGCTGAGCCGCTACGTGTAGCAGAACCCGAAGAGTAGTCATCTTCGGGGTAGGAGCGAAAGTCTGAAAGAAGTCCACCCCCTCGCGCTGACTGAAGCCTCTAGCCACGTAACGCGCCTTGAACACAGGCGGCTCTCCAGGAGGGTGCTTCACCTTGAAGAGCCAACGGCCATCGACCACGTTCACCCCAGGTGGGGGAACTGCGTCGACGAAGGTGCCGGTGGATCTCCAAGATGCCATCTCCTGCTCCATGGCAGCTATCCACTGAGAGGCCCAAGGTCCCGAAACCGCCTCAGCGTAAGTACGAGGGGACGGGATGTCAAAAGCGTCTGGGTCACCCTCAGGGACTAGCAGCATGGAACAGAGATGGGGAGCAGCCTCGGACAGGAAAGCAAGCTCAAACTGGCGGTCCTCCAGGACGTCACTGCCGAGGGCAGGAGCACCCCCGACAGACGGAGGACAGGCAGGGTCAGAGACCAGAGCGGAGGCGTAGTCAAGGCGGCGGGTAGAGGCGTAGTCAGCGACCACAGCGACAAGGGCGTCAAGACTCGACACTGGAACAGACGGGTCGGTAACGAGAGAGGCAAGGACCCGAGGAACAAGAGGACGAGCGGCACGAAAGTAGTCAGACAGAGGAGGAGACGCAACGACAAGAGAGGACGGAGGAGGAGACGGGAGGAGGGGAGGACGAGACGCGTGGGAGCGGAGCAACATAGGGTGAGTGCGCGGGACGGGGGATACAGGACGAGCACGGGAGGGGCGGCGAGACCAGACGTGAGAGGGCAGCGTCGGGTCGGGAGACAGAGGAGGGGACACGGGTGGGGAACGAGGGGGAAAACGAGCCGGGGACGAGTCCGGCGGAGGGAACACGGGGCCGTAGACGGGAAGAGGGGGAGACGGCCGGAGAGGAACAGGCGCAGGGTCAGGGGACGGAAGGCCGAGCAGACGGAGGGCGGACACCGGCGGGGACTGCTGCTGCGGCGACACAACACCAACGCCAGGGCCACAAGCTGCGCGACGGCTACCTCCCGAACCCTCCACACCGGCACCCCCAGAAGGGACACCCCCAGAGCCCGAAACACCGCCAGCACCGGTACCACCCCCAGGCCCGCGGGGACAAGCCACGACAGGAGCCCCGGGACGAGTACCCACCTCAACTCCAGCACCCCCAGAGTCCACAAACAGCGGCAGCGACGACGGCGGCGGCGGCTGCAGCGACGGCCTCGACGGCGGCGGCGGCGGAGACGACGGCTGCAGCAGCTGCGGCGACGGCGGCTGCGGAGGCGGTGGAGGAGGAGACACCGGGGGAGGGACAGACGGCGAGGACTGCGCCAAAGGACTACCAGAGTCAGAAGACTCGTCGACCGGAACGACCGACGGGAGGGGGGTGACGTGAGACACACCAGAGGGGGCCGGACGGGGGGGCGGGGGGGGGGAGGGGCAGGGGCCACCAGGGAGGGAGGAACCAGGAACAGGGGGGGAGTAACCGGGGGACCACGGTGGGGAAAGCGGCGGAAGAAGGAGACGGACTCGTCAAAGGTGACGTCGCGAGAGTGAAAGAAACGGTGAGACGGCGGGTGGTAGAAGTGCCAGTCGGACGCGTCAAGGGGGAAACCGAGGAAGACGCAGGGGAGGGTGCGGGCAGTGAGCTTGTCCGTGCCAGAGGCACGAACGTGAGCAAGGCAGCCCCAGACGTGGAACGCAGACGCGTCACCAGGGGACCCGGTCCACAGAAGGGTCGGCGAAACCTGCGGCCGCTGGGGGTGCGGCCACAGGTTAAGCTGGTGAGCGGCGTAGCGCACGGCGAACGGCCACAGAAAATGGGGTGCACCGGCGTGGATCATGGAGGTGCGAGCCATCTCCATGACCAAACCGATGCGTCGCTCAGCGACCCCATTCTGCTGCGGGGAGTCCGGCAGGGTAAACGTCTGGGTGATGCCCTCCGCACGACAGAAGCGACCAAGGACACCTGAGGCGAACTCGCCACCCCGGTCGGAGTGGAGGCGCAAGGCAGGGAGACCGCGGTGGAGACGAGCAGAGACAAGCCAGGGGATGAGAACGTCAGGCACGTCGGCCTTCCGCTCCAGGGGAAAGACGGTGGTGTAACGTGTGAAGTCGTCGACAAGCACTAGGAAGAAGCGCTCGCGACGCGGCCCATGGACCGGGGCTGGGCCCCAGACGTCCATGTGCAGAGTCTGCAGGGGTGCGGTGGTAGGGGGAAAAGAGGAGGAGTGAGGGGCACGGCGGAGCCGGCCCTCGACACAAGGCGTGCACGGTGGGGCGGGGGATGAGGGAAACTCAGGGAACGAACCGGGGAGACCAAGGACGAGACCGTGCTGGGACATGTGACGCAGACGCGGGAGTGCAGGGTGACCAAGGCGGTGGTGCCAAAGGAGAGTCGGATGAGTGAGGGACCGACAGGAGCACGCAGCAGCAACCTGGGTGGACGCAGCTACCTGGGGGGAAGACCCAGCCGGGGACGTCGCGGTGTCAAGTGTGAACAGGCCGGACACCGGGTCCCGGGGGAAAGTGGTAAGGGGGGCACCAGTGGCGGCCTCAGTACAGACAGCATACCGCTCGTGACCAGGGAACGTAGTGGTGACGCCAAGGTCCTGGAGGCAGCCGACACCAACTAGGTTCCTGGAGAACGAGGGGATATGCAGACCGGTGAGCGAACCTGAAGGAACCGCCGGACAGGGAAGGGAGGTGGAACTGCGGGCAAAGACGGGACCACCGGAGGGGTCAGCAAGAGTAACTGCAGCAGGAACAGGCAGCGGCGTCAGCGTCGTGGAGTCGCGGAAGAAACACCGGGAGGCGCCAGAGTCCAAGGTGAAGGAAAGCGCAGCAGTCGCGCGGGGCGACAGTGAAGCGGTGGAAGCACCGAGGCTAAGCAAAGCAGGAGATCCTACGCCTGACGCAGCAGGGGAGTCTACGCTAGGCACAGCTACACTAGGCAACACGGGGTAATAAGAGGGAAGCACACTAGAGTCATCGGCATACATCACATGCAAGGCTGCTACAATGGCATCCATGTCCAAGTCAAAAATCCGAATGCTACGCCTAAGCAAGCTGTGCCAGTCCGGGAGGTCGGGCGCCGGGCCAAAGCGCTGGCGGAACAGGTCGTCCAGACGACGAAAACAGCGAGGAGTGGAATGACCGATCTTACCGCAAACGAAGCCGCGGCGAGGACCGGTCTGGAGCTGGTACTGACAGGGCCCGCCTCCAGAACCACCACCCGGTG